CTGCATAGAGCTGCTCATACTGTGAGATGGTGGGCTCAACCCTGGGCTGCTACAGTAAAGGCTGTACACTTCGCTACCACTACCTGTGTGCTATTGAAGCAGGTGAGTAGATGCATTAAATACAGACACACTGTTAATAGTGAGTTCATGTAAAATAGTGTTTCCCAAGAATGGATATTTGTGCCCAGGCTACTGTAAACACAAATGTTGCTTTTTACTGTGAGAGCTCTGTGTGGCAATATCTGCACTGTACTGGTATTTTCTGATTTTTCCAGAATGCTCTTTGAACGAAGATAACTACTCCCTGCGGTGTCCGAAGCACAAGGTAAAGAAGGAGAGGTTGGTTTTTCCTACCGTTTCTAGGGAAATTTCGCTTTGTGTGACTTAATGAAAATCCCCTCTTTCATTTGCCACTGTAGTTCCGCCCCACCCAATCACTGATTGAGCCGCTACGCTTCATTTCTTTCAATCTCTCCCTCTAAACCAACCAAACCAATGTTCTCTCTTTCTCCCTTTCACATGTCCTCGTCCCTTCTTCGCTCAGTTTACCCAGAGCATCCGGCCAGCCAAGTCAGTTTACCTGGAGCAGTCAGAGAGAGGCTGAGAGAAATGGAGAAGAAGAAGATACGCAGGAGTCTGGGAGCTGTAAGTTTAGACTCAGTTGTGTGTGTTTGTGTACCTGTATGTATGTGTATGTGTATGTGTGTGTGTGTGTGTGTGTGTGTGTGTGTGTGTGTGTGTGTGTGTGTGTGTGTTCAGCATGTGCCATAGACAGAACAATCAGCGTGTTCTCATTTGTTCATACACAAATATCTTTATTACTATCATTTCTTCCTTTCACAAATTGGAAAGTAAATGCTTTTTCAAAGACGACTTCCTTTGTTCGAAATTGCTTGTAATGCAATGCAGTTCTGCAGCCAACTCTCTAGTGTAAAAAAAAACAAACCACTAAACCACCCAACGGGTTCGATCACCACAAATACATTTCCTTCTGGGAAACAGTTTTTTCATTATTCGGTGGGGGGCTGGTTTCTCATTAATGGACCTCCAATAAATGGACACTAATTCGTTGCCTCAGGGCTGTTTGTACCGTTTCTATTCAGGCAATTTAATTCCACGCAGCAGCACTACTCCATACTTTTTGTTGGCTGGTTCTTGGACTCCTGCTGAGGAAAATCATCCTGCTCTCACACTCCTCCTCACCTCACCTTAGTGGCTGTACTCCTGCCTGTCACTCGCTTTCACTACCTCCCCCTCACTTCCAATTCATTCTGTCCTCATGGAAACTAAAGACTTGCCACATCATATCTCTCCTTTTCTTTCTCTTTAAGTAAGGTTACAGCTTAATGCTGATGGTATGCTAAGGATTTTGCAACCTTATCTCCTAACTTCATCATGTTTTGCGCAATTCTATTCCTGACTATCACCAATCAGTTTACCAGGTAACAGCTGTTTGGTTTCCATTGAATTAGAAACCAATGATAAATATGGGTGCGTCCCTCAACTTGGATTTACACATTTAAACCATGTTTAGTTTGTCAATGAGTCAGAGTAGACTGTGATTATTAGTCCAATTCAGAAGACTTCTCACATAGGTTGTCTCCCTTTAGATAATTGCGCTATGTGTGAAAGCAGTTTATTCTTTGTATCAAAATGCAAGACCCTTGGTGAAGATGCTAACCTCCATTTTTTTGTGTTCCCTTTTCTAGGTTAGTTTGGACAATAGAAGAAGACTGGTTTGTGAAGCAGCCCCAAATGTGAAAGGACAGGACTGGCATCTGTGACAGAGAACAACAAAAGGGAATGTACAATTTCTCAAAAGGAATCAGCATTATTTACATTTAAGACAATGGAGAAAAGAAACTTTTTTTGTAAGAGAAATATTGCTCTTTACTTAAAAGCAGAAAAATAAAAAAAACATGGACATGCAACATAGAGGAACGGAGCTACCAGTAAAAGAAAACTACAAAAAAAAAAAAACTACAAAGATTGAAGCTGAATAAAATGAGACGTCAAGACTGATGGAGGAGCTAAAGGAGCTTTTCTGTAAAGAACAAAAGAAACAAACTTCCTCTCTAGGCTTACTTTGATTTTCCTCACACAACCTCAAAGTGTTAAACTCTTGTTTATCATCAGTTACCTTTTTTTTCCTGGTTTTCTTTTGATTGCTTTGGAGAGGTGTATTGGGAGCAAGTTGGGTGTCAAACCCAGTAAAGAAAAGGAGAGAATATTGTATCCTCTCACAAGTAGTATCTTATCTTATATTAGGATGATCACAATTATTATTTTAGTCCTCATTATTATTTTGTATCCTCATTATTTACTCATGAAAATGAAATGGATGTATCTCACTTTATATTCAGTCAACACATGAATTGGATTTTTTATTTTTTTTTCATTCCTGGAGAGGGAGGAGCCAGAGTGATGTCTGGAATGTCAGGGTCGAGTTTGCCACAAAGACATTATTGCCTTGGAGAACGGACATCTGTTGCCTTTCAAAAGTCACGTGTATGAATGTGAAGTGAGTGTGTGTGAGAAACTGAAAAATGCCGATATCTGGGTCTTTGATTCCATTTTGGTCCTTTTGAAAAGTGTTCTTATTTTTCATCACTGGGGTTTTTACGGTACAGATAGTATTCATGAAAAATCCGATGGACACAATCTTATTTTTCAAGTACAAAATGTAATGTGCAAAGAGAAGGACAGAGCGAGAGGAGGAGATAACACTATGAACCAATGCGTGTCCCCCATCTTGAACCGCTCTGATTTGGGAAAAGATGATGGACAGGACACTGAAGCGTTTTCATTGGTGTGGAACTGTGTACTGGGTGCACAAGTGCGTATGTTCTACATAGGAAGCTCTGTTTTGACTGACAGGTGTCAGTCCCTTGGACAGTGATGGAACATTTTTGGAACTGAGAACTTTGGAGAGGGTGTCATATGAAGGCTGTGATGGGCCAATAGTACTGGCGAACGGGGAGTAAGCCTTACCAAGTATTTTTGAATGGTTTCATTCTTCAGTGACACAGCAGCGATTTGATCGGAAGATGCAAAACCCATTCAAAAGAAGCATTGCCATAAAATTTAAAAGTGAGTCGTACATGGTGTTGTCTTTATCATTTTTTATTGTTATTCTTGTAAAAAAAAAAAGTCAAGCTGAGAAGAAGACAGTTACACTATCAAAACCATGCTGTATTAGAAACCTGTCAATATGTATATGAATTATGAATACACTTTAAAAATGCTTCAATTATTCTCCTCTTCTTATTTCTGAAACATATTTTTGTCATTTTTGCTACAATGATAAAAACCACCAGCTTTTTCTGCCCCAATTTCTTTTCCACTTTTACCAAACTCTGCCTCTCTCTCTCTTTTTTTGCATGCATTCTCACATGAGCTATCTCCATCTCTATATCTGTCACATACACACACCCTCTCTTCCTCTATCCCTTGTCTCCTCTTCCTGTCTCTTCAGTTTGAGGGGAGTGCATAACCCCATTCTGACTCTTTCAGGCTGTCTTTAGAAGACAGGTTATGAATGCACTCTTTCGAATCTAGAAACTGTTGTACCAGGTCAAGGATTCTGTGTTTCTGTCAATCAGAGTAAAAAAAAACCGAAACACTGAAGAATTTGACTTGAAGAAACTAGAGCAGCTTCAATGTAGAAATAGAATCTGAAAAACAAAATGTCAGATTTAGCTTTGCTAAAAGTTCAAATAAATGTTAAAATGCAACCAGGATGCAGTCATGAAAGATAAGATTCTCAAAATGTTCACCATCATAGTGGCATTTATATAATGGGGTGCATTAGCTCAGGTTTTTCTTAGCTAAAAGTAATGGATGAATGGTTGAAATTGTTAGTTAAGTGTGTATGGCATATAAATACAAATAAAAGCAATAGATTATAGTTGAAATAGCTACAAGTAATGGATAAATGGGAAAACAGTTTGAAGTATTGCTGAAATACCTAAAAGCAAAACAGTTATTAGCTTCAAGTAACATTAATGGAAAAGCAGTTTAAATTGCAATTAAAGTATAAATAAATGGTCAAAATAGATAACTATAGCGGAAAGGAATGGATTTTGGTGGAAATGTTTGCTAAAAGTAATGAGAAATGGTGAAACACCTTAAAGTAATGCATAAACAGTTGAAAAAGTTTGCTAAATGTAAAAGCGGTTGAGATTGCTAAAAGTATAAATGGTGAAAATAGATAACTATAGCTAAACTAAAAGTAACGGTTAATAGTTGAAACAGATTGATAAAAATAATAGATAATGTTGAAAAAAATTGAAATACTGTAGCTGTAAGTATATATGGTTGAAATAGATAGCTAAAGGTAATAGATACATTGGTGAAACACACAAGTTATGCATAAATACTTGAAATAGTGGGCTAAAAGTAAATGGTTGACACGTTCAGCATGTTACTTATAGTGGTAGTAGTATGAAGGCAGTTCAATAGTATGAAAACATTATTGTAACATCATTTAATTTTATATCATTAACAGTGTTAAATAACAATACATAATAACAAGAGACACATTATCCTCTTGCAACAACATAAAACCTTTGCATTGGAGTTACTGCGGCTAACCCGCTATTGTGGAGTCAAATAGTTGTCACTGAAAAATTGGTCTACAGATTTGGTACAGCAAAGCAATATTGTCCATGTAATAGTGTGTGTCTGATATATTTATTCACCATTTCAAGGTCATGTTGATTTTCACATCAAAACAGTGAGTGCTCCATGCCTTCCCTGGCTGAAAGGCATTGGAGGAGGGGGGCAGATAAGAGGAAAGGTGAAAGAAATAGATCAAAATGAGTCTAGGAATCAAAATGAAAACAGATGGAACAGAGTTGTCTCTTTTGGATTTATACAGATGGATTAAAGAAGATGTGTGTGTGTGTGTGTGTGTGTGTGTGTGTGTGTGTGTGTGCGGTGTTATACCCTCACAGTTGTCTCTGACCGCTGGGTTCGTATCATAAAGACTGACAGTCAGTCTGCTCACAGAGGTCAGTGTGACGGCCAAAATCCTCCATCACTCTCTGAAACAGTGAAAGGAAGCGCAGACGGCTGGAGGAGCAGGGCCGGATGTTTCTTTCACCTTCCACACTTAACACAATGAAGGAACTGAGGACGAAGTACGAAGTAAGAGAGGCTGAAGGAGGTGAGTGCTTTTTTCTCCCCCTTCGTTCAAATTTAATTCAATGCTTGACGTCAAGTGCTTAGAGGTATTGGTTTGAGCATCTGTCTCCTGGAGAGGTTCCATGGTGACAGCAATTTTCCTCTATTTTCCTCTGATTTAGCCGTCTGTCTTCCCACCAATTACCAGTGGTGTGCTGATTTTCTGTCACAGTCTTTTTATTCTTTAAATGTGATTAGTCATGTAAAACCGACGGCTCCCCCGCACCTTCTCTTTCAAACACCTCACTAATCATCTCAGGCAATTGGGCAGAGCTGCTTCTCCTTGGAAACTAATAGCATGCTGGCGATATTTTTAGTGACACGCCAGAGTGGAGGTGTACCTAAAGTCAAGTGGATTAATAATGAAAAACTTGAGATACTCATTCCCTTGTCAGACATAAAACATACAGAACTGACATTTAATCCTCTTGTTTTTTCAGTGAAGCAGTCCATATTGAACATTGCTGTTAAAGAGTTTATATATTTGACCATCTCTCCATATGCCTATGTCTGTCTCCATCCCTACTATTCCTCCACCAGCCCACATTTAATCCCCTCATGATGGCGTTTCTGCAGCAGATGCGTTCCCCTCGCCTCTCCTTTATCCAGACGGTTTTGTCTCTCTTTCTGGGCGGCATGGCCCTCATGTCCTCCTACTGGTGCGTGGGGCAGCAGAAGGTGCCAAAGCCGCTTTGTACGCCCACCAAGCACAGCAACTGCATCCCCGTTCCCGGCGTCTCCAACTCCAACATCCAGTTCTCCTGGGAGACGGGTGACGACCGCTTTGTCTTCCCCACCTTTCATACTGGCCTGTTCCTGACCTGTGAGGAGAACATCTACACAGACGCATGGGGTGAGAGAGGAGGGTAATAGGTAGAAATATGATTTGGAATATTTAGAACATATTCATTTCTGTCGGGCTGTGTCTAAAATGAGAAAATATGTGAAAATAAATTCCCCGTCCAGTCAGCTAAAAAATAAAACTCCTCACTGATCACAAAGGAAGGTTCAGAAGCCAAAGATGCTCAGTTCCTTTCAAATGGAAAAAAACAACAGACGCGTCACTGGTGACCCTGAAAAGGATTAAACAGGTAGAAGAAATGAATAAATGAGAAAACAGAGGATTTGTACAAAGAGATCTATCCAGAAGCACTGACAGACCTCAGTAATACATGTAGCCACATATACAGTAAACAATCAGCATCATTGTAAGGGATTTCATTAGCACACCCCCGGTCGTATGTGCGGATCGGGTTGCGTGTGTAGTAGAGGATATTCCCAAGGTGACATAAGGATCGACACAGAAACAGGAAGTGAAACAAACTGCTCCACAACTGTGGCACTAGCGCGACAGACAATGAAACAGGTCACAGGACGAGAGGAAAGCCAAGGTGATGGTTTGAATTGAGGCCCCAGGTGTGTTTATTTGTATGTGTGTACAGTGTGTGTTTGAGTGAGTGTGTATGTGTGTTTGGGTATGTGCTCAGCCCAAAGAGGATTATCATCAGTGTGTGTTCCGCTCACAGAGATTTAGACTTCAACAGCATGACTCAATTATGGATTAGAAACCCAGAGAGAGAAAGGTTAATAGGATTCACAAACATCGGCTGGGTTTTTACCGTCTCATTTGCAGCTGATTTGCAACTGATTTTAAGGATTGTGTTTGAATCGTACTGAAGTTCAGCCAAAAGTTTCAACCGACTTAATGCGGTCAGTTATATAAATCTGTTTGCATTTTGTAATTGTTGTTTGGTAAGTAACGGCTGGCAGTGCTGAAAGCAAAACAACCAATCCTCCTAATCTGCTCCTAGTAGAGCTGTACATTTAAAATATTTTTAAATTCACAATTTCTTTATTTGTAAATATACATTTAATATACAATATGCTGAGAATCCAGCATACAAAAGTGGCTTAAAGTGGCTATGCGAACAGTTTATTCAGTACCTTAGAGCTCAATACACTGCAACTGCAAAAGTAAATGAAGAAAACATTTTAACCAATTTGATAACACATGCACAGCATTTAGACCAGCCCAATACAGGAACACACTACAAAAACTTAAAACACAACCAAATAGGCTACAACACAATCAGACAAAAGCACACGCACATAAAAAAAACTTGACATTGGTTGTGTTATATCCCTCATCAGTGTTTTTCCCTAAAATACTGAGCATGTGTTGTCAAATTAGTAAGAAGGTTTTCTTCATTTTTTTATACTTTGTCTATTTGCGTCTGTTTTCTTAAGTCGCAGTGTGTTCAGCTTATGGACCACTGTAATTTAGAGCCAAGTACGGTACTCTGATTGTTGCAGCTGTCATGTAAACACATTGGTAAACAAGCCACAAGCTTAACCGACAGCAAAAACAGGTTCTAATTTTTTCTTTTTTAAAATGGCATTGCTAGTAGTGGAGGAAAAAAATAAGAACAAAAAGATTTATGTTGAAATTAATAGGCAAAATAAGAAATCACCAAAATGAAATCTACAGTACACTGACAAAGTCTCATTTTGTGCTGCTACTAGGAGTTTTCCCGTAAGCCCCATCCTGCCAGATTTATCCCAAACAAATCTTATAATCTCCTATCAGTTTACTCCCAACCTTATGCAAATTGTTACCTCAATCCGACCAATTTGACAGCACATGCACAGCATTTATAATAAAACACTGCAAAGAGAGAAAACACAACCAAACACAGAAACGCTGTGTTAAAACAGCACATCCAGACACAATGCAAACAGACAGAGCACCAGCAAATGAAGAAAACATTCTCACCAACTTGACGTTGGTCACAGTGTGTTGAGCTTATGGGCCACTGTAATTTCCAGCCAAATACGCTACTCTGATTATTGCAGCTGTCGTGTAAACACTTTGGTAAACAAGCCACAAAGAAGCTTAACCGATTGCAAAATCAGGTTGTTTTTTATTTTTTAACAGCCTTGCAGGCGGTGGTGGAAAACAGATTTTGGTGGTGACAAGAAAAGTGTTTTTATGTTGAAATTAATGAGTGAAATGAAAAACAATACACACTGTCAAAGTGTGTCATATTGTGCTGCTATTGAGATTTCCACCCGCCCAGATTTACACCAAACACAACTTATAATATATAATAAACACTTTTTTAAAACCTCAGTCTGGTTATTCATGCAGTAATTAGATTGCAGTGTTCATTTAAATGTACAATATTCACTATACGCACAGGCTGGAGGATTTTTGAACTCAGTTCCTCTTGGAAATGGAGAAAAATGCTGACTATAGAGTGAAATTTCACAGCTGTAATGGTTACTTTTACATGTCACCAGCTCAGGTGTCATTATTATTACTACATTTACATTTGTCTTTTGATTTATAGAGGAGAAGTGTCGAGGGTTTTATACTTTGACTCCAGGATCTGAAAAAGGTAAATGGATATTCATCACTTTCTCCTGCATTTATGTTGGCACTTGGTTGGCTAATTGTTTGAAATCCAAAACCTTCATCCGTCTTTGTGCTCCGCCTCTTCTCCTCCCTCCGCAGCGATGATGTGGCTGTCACTATCGTTGGAGCTCATGTACATCGGTCTGCTGTTAATCAGCTGCATGCTGCTGTCTGTGCAGTTGTGTATCAGGGCCTGGTTCCCTTCCACGCAACGCTGGGGCCAGCTGCTCAACTCTTTTGCTGCTGTCTTCACAGTCCTGGGAGGTACAGCTATTTCTTTAGATAGATAGATCAGACTTTGATTACAACATAGAATGACCAGTTTCATTAGTATATTTTAAAGAATTTGTTATATTCTATTACTTTTGTCTTTGCAGGTCTGCTTGGGATGGTGGGCCACATGATGTACATGCAGGTGTTTCAGACCACTGTCTCAATGGGACCAGAAGACTTCAAGCCTCATAGCTATGGCTACTCATGGGCGTTCTAGTGAGTTCATTAAACATACCGTACACTACAATCACATACACATGGGCCCGATTGAAACTGCACAAACATGATGTGCTAAGGGTTTTAGTTGTGCGTTTACTTCCTGTTGAGTCGTTGCCTGAATTGTGAGTTCGAACGATGCTTCCTGTGGCTCATCCGGGTCAGGCTCGCAGGGAGAGCAGAGCAGCTCTGACAAACTTCCCCACACTAAATTCCTTCAACTCATTCAATTCATGTGAAATCTTCCATTCAGCTGGGAGATGTAGTCCCACCAGGTGTTCTCATATTTGGCCATGCCCCGCATAACCCATTCTTTGTAGCATCAGCACAGTCCATTTAAAATCCCAATTTTACAACCACAGCTTCTGCAAAATTGTCGTGAATAAGCGACCCTGCATGCCGAACAGCCCTGAAGGCATCATTCTGACATTCGACCGCTCAGCCTCTTTCTCCTACAGTGTTGGAGAGTTAACGATCGAATGAGCTAATGATCAAGCCAGTCCGAGGTGCCTTTTCATCACAAACGCTTATGTGTTCGGTGTTTGAACAAACAAAGATGGTCAATTTGAACATGGACCGTCCATGTCTAATACAGATGTTTACACACTGCTATCACTTTCAGATCAGGGGGACTGCTTCAGAAAAATATGCGGGACTGGCATCACAGCTTTTTGGGCCATATTGACTCCCTCCATCATTGAGGAATACTTCTCTTCCTTCCTGCTTAGATTAGTGTTCCACATTTTTAATAATGATATATTTATGTCTTTTAATTAAGTTGCAAGAAAGATTTCTCATACCATTCACCCATTTATTCAGACAGAAGTCCGTCTCATGGTTCAGTTAATTAGAGGCTCTCTGCATGAAACCAAAGCTTCCAAAATTGAGTTTATACCATACTTAACAGTAAAAAACTACTGAATGGTATCTCTAGGTTTTATGAAATCCTGCTGGAGGGTCTTCCAGCAACCACAGATACCGCTAGACAAAAGTGGAAAGAGACGTGGACATAATGGATAAAGGAAGGATCTTTTTCTGTTTGAAAATTCCAAAATGCTCTTATAATGTATAATGTCTTATAATGTAAGACACTATACTGAACTTATAACCGTACACAGAATATATCATACACCAGAGATGCTGCACAGGATGAACTGAAATGTTGTTGTGTTGCTGTAGAACGGCAGCTTCTTTCATATGTGTTGGTGTTGCAGTGTATTTGAGCCAATTTGGAACTCTGTAATGAATTATGTTTATTTTTGTCTTCACTTTTTGCACAAGCAAATCAGATTCTTCTTTTAAAAAATTTACATCATTATATCATAAAAAAGTTTTTAAGAAAATGTATTATCAGTTAAAATCTGTCCACCTACAATATCTCACTGGCTAAATTAAATGACCAGTCATCCCACTTGACGAACGTGTGTGTTGGAAGTTATTATAGTGTGTTGTGCACCAGGGATTGGGGAAGGACCGGCGGGAAGGGAGAGGTCTGTTTTTGCTTCTTGAAAAACTTGAAGCAAATTGTGCTCTTCCAGTTTTCCAGGTTGTTCTCTTAAGTCATCTAAATGGACCCAGAACGGACTTTATCACACATACGTTCACACCTATGTTAGTGATTTCCTTCCTCTTCCTCTCTGTCTCCATCCAGTGTGGCCTGGTTTGCCTTTACTGTCTGCATGTCTGCCGGTGTCTCCACTCTGAACAACTACACCAAGAAGGTCCTGATGGTGGGGCCCAGACGTAACTCCGGCCTCAACGCCTGCAGCTTTAACTTTGTGGGGCTCCTTCCTCCGGCTCCTTATTACACCCCTGCGAACCCAGCCATCACCCTGGCCTGTCCCCCATCTCCCCCCAGGATCTCTCACCTGTCTCCCTACTACGAGCCCCCGTCCGCAGCGTTACCGGCCCACACGCCGAGGCTCACGCACTCCCACTCCCTGCCTCTCCCCCACTCTGACTCCTTCCCTCCACCCCCTTCCCACCCTGCACCTGCATCCCCGTTCCACCGCCTCTCCCTGCCCTCTCCGTCTCCATCGCCCATCCCGCCCGTCCACATGACCCTGCCAGGACACCAGAACCGCTACGAGCCGGAGGAGGACTACAGCCCACTTTGAACTACTGTATATATCCAGACTGGAGTCTTTCTATGAGGACCTGTGCCTATCTTGAGTTCAATGTTTGGTCTCGTCATGTGCTCTGAATTTACATGTTCTCATAAAGAAATAAAAATAAAAATATATACATCTTATTAACTTGCTTTGGCTAATGCACAAAACTGAAATAAATGTGATCACCAACATTTTACTGCTTTTTGTCAGAACATTGTTACCAAGTAGCCAATCTAACATAATTAAACAAATGTACAATTAGTCTTTTATGCCTAATCATGACAAATGGAGAGGCAGCAAAAGATTATTTCAATAATTGGTTGAAAATCAAGTTTTAATATTGTAAAAATCGTCATCTGTAATGAGAAATAACGGTAGCAAAAATAAAACAGCATTGGACACAAAGCATTATGAGAAACAAAACATATTTACACATAATATCTCAGGTTTTAGGAGTGGAGGCAGTCGCCTTTCTGTCACACTCGGAGGAAACAGAGCTGATTTGACAAAGACTACAAAGTATATGACAGGTTGTGATGGTGTGTTACATTACCGGTATATGGTTTGATGTATAAGCTGTTTGGTTAGTTAAATCATATAAAATGGTAAGTTTCATACATACTAGATGAGTGTGACAGAAAATAAATTTCTCTGACTTCCTTTTTAAAAATATTTCAATATAAGAATGTAGTGTAAGAGTTTCTGGGCAGGCGGACGTTACAGTGTTGAGTACGTATATGATTTGGAATTGTACTTCTGCACTAAAACCAGTTTGTTGTCTTCCCTAATCAGAAATTATTACAAAAAAACTCAAATGCATTATATTATTGATTTTACACTTTATATTATTGCATAGTCGTGTCATTAGATCACATGCTCATCTACAACAGGTGACATATCAATGGATTCTTTTTAAAGACTTTGCCTTTGAAAATCAGTGCCTTATGTTGTAGTTACACTCTGTTTTATTAGTGGCACATAAAGTAAGACCAGAGCAGATAAATGAAACGAAAATTGGTAACTAACAATGAAGTAAAACAAAACAACATACTAAAACGATAAACTCACCCCTTTTTATCCAACACTCATATCCATATCTAAATGTACATTACAACAAAAAAGACCACAGCTTTTACTCTTCAACCTGCTTTTCTTATTAGCCACAAACATTGATAGATCTTAATTTATCATAGCATCTTATACGCATTAAGGCACATTGTGTTCAGTTAATAACAAAAACATTCTTAATCCTTAGATGCCCTCAAGAAATCCAGCCCAAACTCTGGGTTGAAAATGCACTCAAATACAAGTGTGATTGATTGAGCTTGCCTTTTACTGCAGAAATATCCAAAACACCTGACGGCAGACTCAGTTAAACACTAGTATGTATTTGAGAAGGTCTGCTATATCTGTAGCTGAATATAACCTAGCAGCTCAAATCTGATGTCCTAAACAGGCAAATATAAACACCAACCCATCCGTGACTAAAACCAGATTTCAGCTGAAAGAGTAGATCCAGCCAAAAGGTTTTGGGCTGGTTGGAGATAGCTCTAGTGTCTTTCTCACGCAGTCTTCTTGCGTAGCACAAAGTAAGTGATGGAGGAGATGAACGTGAGGGCGAAGGAGATCCACGCCAGGATGTAGCAGTGACCGTACTGACCGGTGCTCTCATCCAGGTGGAAGCGGTCTGTGTAGATGGAGGCTGCGATCATGATGCACAGGCCTGGAGTGAAGGAGACAATGGACATCAGTGAGTGAGGGCATAAAGAGGGAAATGCAGAGCGAGGGAGAGAGAGAGAGAGAGAGAGAGAGAGAGAGAGAGAGAGAGAGAAATCAGACAGAGAAGAAATAAAAAAGATACTCACAAGCAAGGAGCTGGAAGATGCCAGAGATGGTGAACCTCTGTCCTTTGCTGAGTGTGAAGAGCTGAGCCACGAACACAAAGATGCCCAGGATGGAGAATATACAAGCTAGGACTGAGCTGGCCTGCACTGCCTGAAGGTAATCTGTAGGGGGAGGCAGAGAGAGGGAAACACAATGAACATATGGGTATATATGTGATAAAGGTGAATCCTAAATATGTGCTTAACATCCTACTGACACACCCAGGAAACAGTAATGTTACAGTGAAACTGTGGTTTTGACAAATCTGGTTCAAACAAGTATTTTAGGATTTTAAAACATGCCGATTATGCTGCCATGTAAACACAAACAGTAGCTAGGCAACTGTACGTTATAAGCTCCCCCCTTGTGTTTTTCCGCCCTCCTTTCTGTCCTCTTTACTCCCTCTCAGGTGTTCCTCATTGGGGATGATCAATTGGTGACCCTGCCCCCATATTTAAAGGAGGATGCTCTCTCTCTCTCTTCTCTCTCTCTCTCTCTCTCTCTCTCACACACACACACACACACACACACACACACACACACACACACACACACACACAAAGCAGCCTGTTGATCCCATCAGTCAGTGTCTTTTGTGTCTCATTCTTCGAGGATGGAGGTGTGGTAGTGCAGCTTTTGGTTCTTTGTTATAACGTTTGTGGGAGATCAGGTGGGGAAGCTCTGAGTCCAACAGCCCAATGCGTGGCTGGCCCAGACTTCCTCCATCCTTTTGTTCTTTTTGGCCAGAAGTCCAGACTCCCATAGTTTCTCTTAATTAACGACGAGTCTTTACCTTCACTTTTGCTACACAATTGTAGCTTCACTGTGAAAAAATTATTTTGGATAACTGCAAACTTACTGTGTCCTCAAATGATTTCCATGAAAATGTGGAAATAGCACTATAAAGTGAGATTGCTGCCACATGTTTGCGTAAGATAACGCTTCTTTTTCATATAATTAGCTTTGTATTTAATGTGTAGTCAGTAATAAATTGGCTACATCAGGTTAGCTAAGTCTCGAAAGGCCCTGAAAACCAGTTTTCTCAATCAGCTATTTCACAAGCGATTTCTTTATCTCACTGGTTTGAAGGGGGCAGGGCTACGCTAGAAAAAAATGAGATTTCACGTTGTGTGCACCAATCAGGATTTAGCGACACTTGAATCAGAATCTGATGACATTTGGTGGTTGTTCGGGTTACAGTCAATCTAACCTGATAAAACCACATACTCACAGCCCTGATGAAGAAGACAAGTTTTTGAGTGTGAATATTTAATGTTTTAGACAAATACTTATGATTTGAAGCCAGGTTTTCAAAGACTTTGAATTATAAAATAAAGGCAGCGCAAGGAATGCTCAGTTATAGCGTGTAGGAAGATTTTTTTTTATTGAGAATAAATATGGGTGTTAAAGTGTTGTACGCATGGAAACAAGTGGTTCTCACTCTGCTTCTTTGCAGCATTTGCGGGTGTGTGTGTGTGTGTGTGTGTGTGTGTGTGTGTGTGTGTGTGGCTTACCCTGTGGGTAGGGTGTGCCTGTGGGAAGATCGGTGTAGTTCCACACTCCGTTTATCTGTATCCACCGAGCCCACACATCAGTGGCCATGTTGTCAGTCACCCACCAGGCCTGAAAAGAAAATTTCAGTTCAAATCATGTTGGACGACCTTCCTGCATGTTATCGGAAGATGAATGAATCCATACTAAAAGGAGGGAGAATCCAAAGCAGCAGTCAGGGTAAACATCATTTGAGTGTGTTCACCCTGTGTTCTGACATGTACTTTGGGGCAGCTGCAGGCAAAGGGATGACAATCAGAGGAGAGGAAAGCACATCCGCCTGTTACTTCAGCATTCAGCAGGTCTCACTCCGGTATGTAACACTCAAAACATCTCACATATTTACATGTGTGTGTGTGCTGTATGCCTGACACCTTTAAATGCACACACACAGATGCACTGAGTGACACCGGATGACGACACTGCGGCCGGCCCATCTATCAGCCAGAAATGTCAAATATGTGGCCGTGAGAGGAACAGTGGACCACTGACAGAGAAAGGAATGAAGGCCCCGAGCAATGAAAGAGAGGTGAGCAGCCAATCACTCATCAGGCTTGAGTCTTTGCTGTCTGTCAGCATGTGAGAAGATGCACATAGCACTGCCATTGTAACGCTCAAACTGGAGAGGAAGCTAGAGATTATAATGTGGCAATTATGCCTTGAGGCTGCAAGGGGGGGGGTAGGTAGGTGGAATTTAAGTGATAAAATACAGCTAAATTGATTTACTTACATTGTCAATGGTGGCCACCAGGAGGAGGATGATGCCTACGATATGAACAGCAAAAATTGCACCGAGGAGAATCAGCATGATGACTGTGCTGGAGAGAGAGAGAGAAAGAGAGAGAAAGAGAGAGACACAAGAGGAAACTTGTTACACCACTTTCCACCCTTTATTATGCAGGGTGAATATAACTGGAGGGCTTACTCATAAAAGACACACACAACAGACTAGCAGCTAATATTCGGTGAAAGAATCAAATATGGCTTTAACAAAGGCTCCGCACTTCCTGCCTGGTTTCAGAAAGGCAGCCATTAAATGACAGATCCAAACGTGCGCACGCGACACACACACACACACACACACACACACACACACACATACATACAGACACATTCAGAGCTGCATAGGAAGGCCAAAACCTGGCACCCACTCAGGGCGTGGCTTCACAACTTCTAATTACTTTGAGTTACAGCTAACACGCTCCCAGTGAAATGCCTGCAAATAGACAGTAAGATCATGTTCCTATCAAGAATCAGAGAGGTGTTGCCGTGTATTTGAGCAGATAGAGGTCAGTAAACAAAATCACTAGTTGCCTGGGCAAACAGATACTGTTGGTAAAGAGAGAGTGTTGAGGAGGGAAGTTCATTGCAGATGAGTTTGGGCTTGTCTTGTGCTTCCAGCAAAACCACCTTAAAATAACTGTTGAGAATACCTGCTATCTCCCCGCCTAGTTGGCCCACACCGAACTCTGCTTGATTTGAATTATTAGACTTTATCACACACACTGTAGCCCATAAAACTTATTTAGAACTAATTAAAAAACTGTTGCGTAGGCCTGTTTAGTGTAACTGCACTCAACCTACCTCACTGGCCCCTCTAACAGGTGGCTCAGCCCAGAGATGTCACTGATTGGATCTTTTTTGTCCCACGCTCTCTCTTGTGTGTGAAACTATCTGTGCCTGTACCCAGTGTGGAGGCTGCACTGGGTGTGAACAGAGGAAGAGGCGCATCTGGAATGTGCTGGTTCTCTTCACGGTAAAGGAGTGGTCAAGGGCTGGGTCCACACACACACACACACACACACACACGCTTATACAGACAGACACAGAGCACCGGGGGCACGCTGATACACATGTGATCATGCCTGACACATCTCTGCCAATACTTCCCACCTTTCATCAGCTTCAAGCAGCCACAGTGAACTGAAAGGTTGAGTGTTTAAAATACTTGTATAATTCCTCCCTGAAGCGTTAGGAGCTCACATATGGACATGCTCTTTCTGAGTTGTCTTCTGCCAGATGAGCCAACTTTAATGAACAACTTCTGGGCAGAAACAATAACAAGTGAATTTAAATGCTCGGCAGTTGGATGCTTTAACTCAAAACATGCTTGTGGAATACTTTGATCAAATCTTTTCCAAACTCTTGCCTGAAAACAAGACGTGTCAACTATTGATGCTGGGATTTTAAGATCTGGCCTGGATCTGTGACATTTTCCATGACACAAAATGGAAAGCATGTGGCCGAGGTTAGATTTGAAAATGTTAAAAATCTAAATCAAGCAGGAAAGTAGGCATTTTTTGATATTATTTAACATTCTGTCTTGTCATTTGAGTAGAACTGCTGCAGGAACTGAGCACATCTGGAAAGCAGCCTCACCTGGCCAGTAATGAAGGACTCTAATTAAATCACAAAGTTGCCTGTGATGGTGATCAGGTATATGGGAAGCACACACACACAAACACACACCTGCCTTTACTCTATTCCTAATCATCATTTTATTTTCTTAAATAAAAATAGAAAATACTGAAGCTGCATTACAACTCCTATACCACAGTTTTATCATTCTGAAACAGCTACGGAGAAGTAAGATTCAAAAAGCATAAGAAGGATCTTTGACTTACTGTTTGATGGCTGTGTGTCTCTTCAAGTCTAATTCCTCCTGCTCTCGAGGACACTAATTTCAGACTAAGAGTCTAAATGCACAAACACTAGGAACTACCCGTCCGCCCACTTTTTCCCTACCCTCTTTTAAGTCCACACCCCAAACAAGCCTCTCACTCGCTTGATCGCATAATCTCAGCTCTCTTTTTTACGCCCTCCTACTCTACTCTTTGCTCTCTGTCCCACCCTATCTCTGTCTGTTTTACACACCACATGCAAAAAGCCCAAACCAGCCACTATTTCCACAACTTTTGTGGGCGTGGGATAGATATTCCTTCTGTGTTTGGGTGTCTCATGTCTTTGTCACTCAGCTGATGGTGGTGATTCTCTTCAGGAGGGCAGCTGATGACTCACTGATGTTTGAGGGGGGAACTCCCACAACACTGGACATTATTGACAATGATTCTACGCATGCTGCCATGGCGACAGACTGCAGCCGGGCCTAATCACGGTCACATCGTTGCTGTTGTGTATATATAAACAAACAGTCACACTCGGGCATATAAACACACGCAGGCACAGCCGACAGTGTAGTGTTTCTTCCTGATCACCGCCCTCCGTCTTTTCCCGCTTTTGTTACAGAGGAAGGAGTTTCAGGATGAAGGAATGTTGTTGGTTGCGAGGGAGAAAGAGGTGGCTGCAAATGAGTGCAAGTCATAGCATGAGTGAGAGAGAAGGAGGGAGTAAGAGGGAGGTAATGAGAACGGAGAGAGGAAGATGGAAAGAGACTTGAAGGCAGTGAGACAGGAATGGGGGGGGGGGCATTTCACACTGCTGCAAGTTCATTAACTATTACTCACCATCGTTGTTTCATAGTTGCTGGTGATTGATATGGTCCTAATGAGGCCAATGAGTCAGTGTCATCTGCCTCTTGAGCAGATCACATGCATTAGTTTAGTTTGAGGGTAAATGTTTTACCAGCCCTAAGACTTTTTCTCCTTATATCACATCACATAATAGCATAACACACAATAACATTCGCTCATTCGTCACAGAGCTCATTCATTCCAAATTGTGGTTAAATTCCTGTGGCAAATCATTGGGGCAGAGTGTAAATGTCAGAGCTCGCCATATCTAATAATTCAAAAGTTCCCCTTACAGTATGAGACACGCTAGAGGAGGAAGGGTTCGAAAAATTGTTGTCCAGAGAGAACTAGGCCAAAGAGTAGTGTCTTACATCAGGGTCAAATATGGACATCTTTGTATGTCAGAATAAAAAAAACTAATTCACAACACAGTACGGCAAAAGCACACAAAAATAGCCAGTTAGTAACTTTACTTTACTTTACAAAGGGCTGGTGAGGGCTTTCTAGGACTGGGGGCGAGGGAGAAGAGCTGTTGATGACCTGTGCTTTATTAAAAGAGAAAGGGTAGTACTTCAAGTTTTAGTTTTACGAGGTGATTTGATTTTAAAGCTGTTGTAAAACTTTTGGGCAGGGACAACTGTTAAGAAGAGGCCATAAATAACAGGAAAACCTTTTGTTCAGTATTCAGCAAGCATTCTTGACAAACTAGTAAAGGCTAAATTTCCAGAAGAGTGTGCTCACTGCTGAAAACTGGCAGTTGAAACATTTGAAATCAGAAAAATGGAAACCTTCCAGGGCAGCTGGACTCACAAGGTCACTGGACTCCTTAGAATCCATCTTGTAATGCTTCAGGCTACGCGATACGCGATTGTGGCCCAACTACAGTGGTATCGTTAGACAGAGTAGCGTCCTTTGAGGAAGCAGTGGCAGCTATGAGGGTGGGCGCAAGGTGTGACACAGCATGAAGACACCGTTCAACAACAATAGAAGTTAGCGTAGATGCTGTAGCATCAGTTATATCCTTTTCCGAACAGTTTACAGATGATGACTTCCCAGATTGTTCTGTTTAACAAACCACCTGCACAGTCAGGTTAACATAGGGACAAAGGACAAACCAACTATAGCTTCTTATACACACTTAACAGCCCGTTTAAATTCCCAGGCCGTCAAATACAGACCCCAGCAGCGTTCAGTTAGTTGCAATCTGCAACTTCACCACTAGATGCCACCAAATCCTACACACCGGTCCTTTGAGTTAAAGTGGCAGACCAAAAAAAAAAAGAAATATGATGAAATGGTGGTTAAAATTGGACGGTGGACAGAAGTTGGAAATCAGTATAAGTGTATGAAGTGTTAAGTATTAAAGCTGAGATGTCAGTCGGAGTATAATCACTGAAGGCAGAAATTGTTTGACATGTAAGAGATGAAAGCAGTTGAAATTTCATTTACCGTCTAATCGCTAAAAGCAGTTGAGCCCCCAAGTGGGTGCTGGTTTAAAGTTTTAATGAAATTTGACTTAATTAATTTGATACATTTCAGATCTCTTTAGTCTGACGAAGCAAAATGAATACTACTCTCAAGGTCACTCCCCCTATCCATGATCTTCAGGCTTCTCATTTGTTGAGTACTATAAATATCTGTGAATCTGGCTGGATACTGGACTCACTTTTAAGACTCATGTGGAACATCTGACAAGCAAAGCACGGGTCAAAATCTGACTTTTGAATCGATATAAATCATATTTTTCTCCTTTGGAAGACCATTTTACAATCTACAGATGAACCTCGGAAGAGAGCTGGTTTCAGATACTACACGCCTCACAGATGGAATGAGCAGCAAGAAAGTAAAATCTTTTTTCACTTTTTTAAAAGACTATACTCAAGTAATTCCACTTGTGTGTGTGACTCTTCTGTGTCTGTCCATACTTAAAATGTGTGTTTTTTTTCTTGTACCCAAGTCTCTCTTGAAAAATATGAGCTAGATCTGTGTAAATAAAGGATTAAATAAAAACAATATTAAAGATATAAATACAAGAACATGGGTGGACATGAATACACTTAATAAAAGTCAGACAGGAAATTCAGATACACACAAGTAGATATAGACAGACAAAAATACTCTGGGTGCAGACTGGGAGACTGAGGTCGCTTGTTTGCTTCTGGTGAGCATAAAAATATGGCGATACACCAACAGAAGTCTGAGTCAAAGGCTCAGCAGTGTACCTGGTCAGTATCATGTCAGGCTGCCTCAGCCTCAGGTATGAGCCAGCAGGATAATAACAGGCTTCAAAAATAATTTACCTGCGAATACAGTGGCCTTGAAAGGCAGCAGAAACTGCCTGACTTTATAGCAAGGCTACTTGTGTGGCTACATTCTGGTGGGATCATGAGGTTACTCACACACACGCACATGCACACATACATACAAATACACTATCTCCAAGGCAAATGAAACAAAGGCACTTCTCCTTTGTTGAAAGCTAAGCGGAATAGTGTGTTTTAATGTGGTTGTCATGGAAAAAAACCTTTTTCATATGTAGACAGAGGGACTCAGAAAGCTGGAATGCTAAACATAGCCAGTGCTGAAATGTTGAACTAAATGATGCCTCTGCCATGGCAACATTTCAGGTTTCTGCACCTTATGCACATCCCTGATTTCCATGACAACATTATCAAACTCCATGGAAGCCACAGTAAATGCACCACCTATTTCACCATTTAAGAAGGCTGAAATGAATGGGAGTCCATCCATTCATGTTTGACAGTGTGTATTTCAAACCACACCTTGATTGTACTACTTAACGTCATTGGTGTCCCTCCCAAATCCCCATGGGAAAGAATGTCAGTCCTTTGAAATTTTGCAATTCAGGTTTGGAATATAGTGGTCTAATCTCATCAAAATCTACACTACATCTGCTACATCGCACTAAAGATCTATCACCAACACAAACAGCTCCACCCGAGCTATTGGACAACTCCCTCTCAGGCAAGGACGGTGCATGTGCTCATAGGACCTTTCCTATTTGACTTTAGATTTTTAAAAACAACATGGTAAATCCGTGACTACAACTTCTTGTGAGACACAATCTAAAGATGACATCAAGCATAAAAAAACAGAAGAGAGAGACGGACTGAGAAAAAGAGAAGTGAGAACGGAGAATGTGGTCGGACCTGATTCTGTTCTGGGCGTGTCAACCCTACCTTGTAGGCGAGGTAAGCCAGGTGTGTACTGTACCATACAGCTTGATACGGCACTCCCTCACCCTAACATGAGAGTTATTGAGTAAAACCAGTAAACATGCCTGTGGAGCAAAAAATACTTTTTGCCACTTCAGTTATGCAAGAATGAGACCTTTTTTCAGTTCTGGGTATATTTTTGGGAGAGGAAATGCCATGAGTCATGCTTCAGTCAGCTATCGTTTTACAGAGTAAAATCGTAGTGGGTGTTTGGCCACGCCACCGTCTACCGTTGAATGTATCAGGGGCGGAGCAGGAGCTTAGCCACAACACGTTTTTTAGATCCAAACACAAGTCGACAAATCACATGCCTGTGTAACTACTGAAGAAGACCAATGGGGTGGCTTGCTCAACAATCAACCCCTTTGTCGTGCTGCCATTGCTGATCAGTACTGGAAAAACCAGAGCCATAAAAGATCACTAAGAACAGTTGCGATATTGTCTGATCTGTCAAGGGTTGTGTGCACAGGTATCAACGTTGATTCCTTGAAATACTTTCTCAGGGTTGGCTTGTTCAGTGAGCTACTGTTAGTTCCAGTCCACAGTTTACTGCACACTGTGGGGTCATTAAAGAGCTGAATGCAAGCCTGAATCTGCTATTCAAAAATGACTGAAATACACTGAACCAAACTGTGCTACACTTTGACATTTTACATTGTCGAAAATGAGTTATGTGGCCTGTCAAGAGGACAATTACTTATGTCTTCAACATGCACTCCTCCATCACAGATTACTTCGTTGCATCGTCTTAAAGCTGTGGCACTGAGTCTTGCATTTTTAATTACTGGTTGTTTGTAAAGTTGGCAACGTTGGACATTCATCTCTTTGACACATGTTAAATTGCCCTGAAAAAGAGCGTCAGCTAAATGCCAAAAATATAAATTAGATGTAAATAGATAAACCGGGCCTATACCAGGACAGATTGTTATATTTGGTTGAGTAATGTCAAAATCCCTTAATTAAGGTGTTTGTGAGGAGTCTCAGTGAGTATTTCAACATGACTCTGTGAAACAAAGCCAGCAGAGCGGTGCCAGCATGCCAGGGGAGTGAGCCTGACCACAGCCAAGTCACTGCTGCTTTACACAATAGTAAAGCTCTCTGTCTGTGGTTGACTGTCTCACTCTGCTCATTCCTTCTTTGTCTTACACAATGTCGCACCCTACCCTGAGATTTCTAAACTCTTTTATAAAAGCAGGCAGAGTGTATATTTACAGGATTTGCACGAGTAATTTCAAAGACTTTGCTCTTTTGGAGGAGGCAGAGCAAACACAAGGGCCAGTGTCAGTGGCTTTTTATGTTGAAACTCTCACCTCACCTTAGGCTGTTGACTAATTGGGAAAGTCGACCATCGCCCTCGTCCCTGCTACCAGTGTCACTGGGCTGGTTTTGATAATGAGATACTGCATAGGCATGTCAGTGGAGAAGTGAGACACACACATTCTCACACTGTCCAAAAAGTCTCCAAAAGAAGTGATATGTGACCCCAGTTTCTGGAGAACACATATTATTATTATTATTATTATTATTATTATTATTATTATACATACATAGTGCATAATACTCAACATCCTATCAGGGAATGGCACATTGTCACAGGCACTGGAAAAAAAAACAATACGCACACAGAGCTTCCTTTTCTACTGTCCTTCTCTCCGTTGCTGAGGAATGAGATCAGTTTCATTTTCCAGTAATGGCTGCCTCAGCCTCACTCCATCAGTAAGAAAATAAAGCACTTTTTTTGACATGCATAAATAAGTTTAAAGGACCAGTGTGCAAGATTTAGTGACATCTAACAGTGAAGTTGCAGATTGTAACCAATTGAACACCACTCACGTCCGTATTTGACTTTTTGATTTGATTGACGGACTCTGTAGTAGATAAAAACTGCTCTTTCTAAGGTAAAACTAAACTAATTTTATTTGACCTTTAAAGGTCCAGTGTGTAACATTTAGGAGGATCTATTGGCAGAAATGGAATATGATATTTATAGGCAATTTTCTTTCAAATAGAATAGAATGAGCATTTCATATGGTGTTCCTCAGGGTTCAATACTTGGTCCACTCCTGTTTTCATTATACATGCTTCCATCAATTATACAACACAATATAAATTGTGATGACTACATGAACGGCACAGAAGTATACATAATGTTAATGCCTGTTGATCCTAACAGTTTTAATTGTTTAACCTACATTTTCTTTATTTTCATTTAATTTCATTACCTATTTTAAATTGTATTATTTATTATTTTACCATTAAATTGTGTTTTTAATGTTTTGTTTGCCACTTTTAAATTTTTGTTTAAATGTTTTTCACATATACAATTTGAGTATGTATGAAAGGTAAACTTTAAGTGAAGGGGCAATCAAAATGAAATTAAGACATCAAAGAATATGCTAATAGGATTTATCTTTAAGCATTTGCATGTGCCCTATTGGCTGCCTGCCTGTGGTCTGAATGAAAATCAGTCAGGAGCAGCTTCAGGAGTCTATTATGAACCAGACATGGTGGATATTGTACAGTAAATGTGAGCCACTGTACTTTATGAAGGCTGCGGTACAGCTTCCAGTGGGGCGAATATTGTGTGTGTCAGTTGTAGTGCCCTAGCCACCGTTTACATTCAATAAAAAAAGAATTCCTCATATTTAGTCGAGCCGACCCGTTTCCATGGTTACTGGCCAGGGGTTTTCATTCTTCATTCACTTCCTCACCCTGAGCGCTCTTTCTGTAGATTTCACTCTTTTTTTTCCTCTCCTCCCTGGTTGACATTACTACATTTAACTCCAGTTTCTCCTCACGTGATTTCTTCTCCTCTATGGGAACATTTGTGCTCCTCCTGTTTCCTGCTCAGTGCCACCCCTGCGTTTATGCCGCCCCCACAAAACCTTGCTCTCTCAATGAAATCCAGACATGCACACTGTACTCTCGCTCTGAGTCTAAAGAAAACAACTCCTGGCTGTAGCTAGGCAACTCCAAATATGAGTCACCCACTGCCGCGCCCATCATCAACTGATTTCCCCCCCCCACACACACACTCCTACCCAACTCCTCGACATACACAAATACACACAGCTTCAGATCCTCTTTATGAAGTGTAATTGCTCACATTAAAACTGTGTGGCTGTTGTGGTTCAAACTGTGCGGCTGTGTGGTTCCTCTATAGCCTCGTCACACTCGTACCTAGCGTTCAGGTAGACGTGGAAAGACAGCCCTTATAAGTGAGACACTGTGAGAAAATGACCAGCCTGGCCTCAGCTGATAACATCATGACCACAATGTGATGACTGATCACAGCTTGGCAGAGTTACTTCTTGTCAGATGGTGGATTTGGCGACAAACTAACAGTAATCTTGTTTTTTGGCCGTTTCGATGAGTACAGTAGTAGACAGACAATATCACTAAACCTCTTTTTTAATGAATAGATTTATAGTTTATTAAACTTTTATGAGATTAATTTATGTTTGGGCCAGATGGGAAGAACCCTGACATTAGAGATTTCACATCTGTAAAGTATAAAAAAAAACTTGAACAAGAAAACAACAATGAAATGTAAATGAATGTAAATGACATACAGGAGTTAGGCTGTAAATTAATCTCCCAACGTGGCTTACTGGATGACTTATTTCTATCAATCAGATGATGGGTTCAGTTTGACACAACAGAGAAGATATTATTTAAAAAGAGCTAGATGACCTGAAGGGCAGGGCCACAGATGTAAGTAATGAGTAAATGCCAGTCTAAATGTCTTTTTTCAATAGGAATTCACCTATTCATTACAGTTAATTAATAGTTAATAGTATAACACAGAGGTAAAAAAGTTATATACATATATATATATATTGGATAGTGTGTATATGTATGTGGGAGGTTTGAAAAATCCATCTTTGTTGTCTCAAAGCTTAGAAATGGTTCTTGACTGACAGACAGACAGATGGATAGATAAGTCTCCATTAATTTATCTGTTCATGAAAATAATCCTCCACAATTGCTGACTTAGAGCAATGCAGTGTTGCTGCCCTCTAGTGGACGGAAAAGTACATGGCGTTCAAATTCTAAACCAGTAGTCCTACATCAGTAATAGTACAGAGGTACTGTCAGCTGAAAAGTCCACAAAATATAAATGTGGAATTGTGAGATGATTCATGAGATAGGAAAGACGCCACACATACACAAATGTATATACCTTTTTGGACTCTCTTTAATCTTTACTTTTTTGTCAAAGACTGTATAGTTTTAGCCGTTGTCTGAATTAATCCTTGAGAGAAATGTAGTGAGGAAATCTCTCTTTGGTCGATTCTAACATTTCATGTACGTCTGAAACATGACAAGCAGACACTGATTCTTTGTAAGAGGTCAGAACCCAAAAAGGTTGGAAACTTTGTATTCTGATTTGTAAGACTATTGTGCGTCTCTTTTTTATGTAAAATCTCAACCTGTAAAGTGGAAACTACATCTGTGAGATAAATGTAATGGGGTAAAAAGGAAATTCCCCTCCTCTGTAATGGAGAAGCAGTATAAAGCAAATGTAAATGAGGTAAGGCACAATTACAAAAAACTTATTAATCACAGTACTTGACTCAGTATCCAACACTGATCATTTGAAACCTTGAACATAAAAATAATACCTGCAACAATCACTACACTGCGCATGCGCTACCTGGCTGATTAAGGCCAATTAGTGAGCAGGTGTGCTGGTAAGAAGTCTACATATACACTGCCGCTGCTCGCTCGCTCTCTCCCAGTGTTTTGGTGCGAAGACAGAAACTCTTACTTGCAATGCATTTGAAGCAAAACGGATACTGCGTCGGTGTCCTTCTCATTTACTCCATCACAACAATAACCTTACCTCCAGTGGGCCGGTGTGAGCGCACTGTTCAGTCCTCACAACCAAACTCTCATGTGGCTCTTCATCATGACAGGAACCGCGTTTTAACGACGGGAGGCCCCGCAGGTCGCTCTAACCGAGAGGGCACAGAGCAGCGGCAGTCGAGAAACCTCCTGTACCTTCACTACTTGGAAAACCGGGACGGGACACAGACGAAAACCTCTGGAGGGAGGCCGGAACAGACACTCAAACCCAGAATGGCGTCTACTGACCCGGAGCAAACCGAGGGGGAGAGGATGTATACTTCATTTAACCCTCCGAATGAACACTGTAGCGACGGGGAAATGGCGCCTGTCGTCCACGGAAAGTTTTACATTAAAGGTCAACTTGAAGCAAACACTCGTAATGTGGGCTACCAGTCAGATGCTGTTGTTTCAGGTGAGCTACCTGGGCTCTTCCCAGAATTCCTCCTCTTCTGTTTTTGGCGGGTAGCGAACAGTAAATACAAATTCTTGTCTGCCAAAGTCACATCTCCCTGTGTTATCTTATATCGTGTAAATGTATCTGCTTATTCATTTCCTTTGACCACACTATGTGCTGGCATCCACAGAAATATCCCACTCAGTCCCATGCATTCTGTATAATATAAATGTCTATTTGAATTCTGTATAATGTCTGTTGTTCGGACAATATATCTGACCTTCTGGCTCTCACCGATCTCAACCGATCAACTTAAATCTGAACAAACAACTCTCAATGGTCTTCTCTACTATCCATTGTAATGCCTTTAAACTTCTTCTGTGTAGGTCTTAATTGTTCATTTTTGACTACAAATCTGAACTCCTTATCTTTTATGATTAATGTGAAATCTATGGCGCGTTCAGGAAGTATCCATGGTTGTATTGCTAGTAACGCTACAGCTGGACTGCTGTCTATTAAGATTTCTAGTTCTGCTGCTTTCTGTGTCCATACAGAGCTTTCTGTTGTCTGGTGTTGGATGACCTTGGCTTTGACTCTGTAAATTCAAACAGTAATTCAGGGAAATCTGCATTCTTATTTCTATACAAACGGCACAACTGACTTGACATTTATTTTTTTAATTTGTACAATTGTGCAATATGTTGAGACAAATGTTTCACAGCTCATGGCATTTGAATGTAGCTCTTACCAGTACTAGTCTGTACACCGTTGCCTCCCTTTTTTTTAAATGTCAAGCCTCCCTAAAATGATACCAAATGGAGTGCAGATTTTAGAAATGTTGTCCCCTTCAACACAAAATGTTAGAAAAATACACAATATAATAGATGTATTTCACTCCTTTACTGAGAGACTCAACTGTTTCCTCATGTTCTATAAAAATATAGACCCTAACACTGTATTCTCTGTTGTGAACTCTTTTTGTTTTTGTTTACTAGGCCAGGAGAGGATTAGAGGTCAGCGGGTCAGAGGCTCGGAGGAGAGCTGGCGGAGGCTGCAGCCCTTGGTGGAGTGTGGAGACGACGGCATGACCCTCACTGTTAGGAGGAGGCAAGCTGTACAACTACTGCTGAACCGGGGTGAGGCTACAGCTTCTCCACTTACAAATACTCCAGCTTTGTGCCTGGGACAGTGGCATTGTTAGCTTGAATTTGGAGATATACTACACAGTAGGTTGCAGCAGGTGTCCTCAACCCTCAATTTCCAATTTCTGTTGAAGTTCACTCTATTTTCTAAAGTTTTCTCTCCTTATGTAGGAGTACATTAACCTGTATGAAGGGCTGTACGGGTCATTATTCAGAATTATCATGCTTATTCATACGCACATGAAACCAAACTCCTTCATATACTATACTGAAAAACACACGTACAAGGGAAAATCTTTTACATGCAAAACTGAGAAGTTCTCACAAACTACTGAAAAGCTTTCACACTTATTAGTAAAACATGCTCATACAGGGGTAAAATATAACCGTTAGGCAGTAAATAAGAGCTTTACAGTTAAAAAGGAAGGCCTTCCTTTCATCTGAATGAAACAGGAAGACGCCACACTAGGAAGTGCATGTGCTCTGGCTGAATTTGACTTGTCCCTACTGCATTATTATGAATCCCACTGCTTTTCTTGGCAAGACACGCCCTGCGTAGCATTCAAGCACTAGGATTGGCCAGGCGCCCACGCTCGCATGAGTGGGAGAAGTTGGCCTTCAAGTCTTCTGCCAGAAAGTGCCAGAACATGTGTAACATTGTGAGAAATTCTATTTAAACCCAGTAGTTTTGTTGCCTAAAGCTAACCAAACTGCGACAAAAACAGAATTTTTATTTTTATTTTAATAAACCTTATAAAAGGTCTAATTAAGTATATAGAAGGTTTTCAAAATACTATAAGACAGCATCTTAACTGTGTATATGAGCACTTGACTGGTATGTGGGAAAGCTTTTCAATAATATGTGAATGAGTTTCATACATATAAAAAAATGTGTATGAGGGGAAAAGTGTGTGCGTAGTAATTCTGAATGTCTGATGGCCCCTCATAAACCCATGTTTTTAGGTTCTCTATATTTATGTGTTTTTTTTTTTTCTTTTTTTTCTTCATCAGAATGAAGTGAATGTTTTTGTTTTGGTGTCTTTTTGTGTCTCAGTGAATGAGTCATCTGTACCACTGTCCCAGCTTCCTCCTCAGTGTGGCTACTCTGTTGAGACCACATGGAGAGACCTCAGTCTCATGGCTCAGTATGACGCCTGCCATGTTCTGCAGGAGGTATGGGATCTGAAAATGTCTGCTTTGTGTCAGATTAGGCACCAGTGCACAGATTATTTTATCACTGCAGTGTTTGTCTCGTTTTGTGTTTACCTTGTTGTTCACTCTCTTGTGTTTTCCCGTGAGGATATGTCTGATTTCTAATCCTCCACCATCCTCTGCTGATCATTGTCTTCATGGTGGGAATGACTGTTAGACCAAAAATCTTTTTTTGTAACAGGGTTGAGATGACTCATACATTTAAACTGAAATGACTCCCTACCCTCTTATGTCATTGACAAGATAGTTAGGGACTTTCATGGATTCTTGACTCATGTTTTAAATTTTAATTGAATGAGCGAGGCTTGTTTCTTATTTATAGCCATGTCTTCTCTAATGGATGTGAATTTTTTTTCGCCAGCAGGAGTAAAAGTATAAAAAAATGCTGTTTAAACATGTGTTCAGGATGACAGCTATGTGTTGCCCCTGCTGTGGAAGGGGGCTCCAGTCAAGATGTCCTGCCCAGCCTCTCAGATCCAGCCTCAGGTCGTGGGCCCAGACTCCCCACCCTCCCTCTGCTGCTCTCCGTACGGTATGACCGTCAAAGTGCAGGGACTGTCTGCTACAGAGGAGCTGAGGGTAAATGGTAAACACAACTTTCCATTTTCATTCTGTTAACACTCAGTTCACTCCAGTGATTTTCTACCTCTCTATGGTTTTTCCAGACTTTTTAAAATAAATGTGAGCATAGTTTTTTTTTTTTTTTTTTTTTTTTCTTTTCACTACAGTCAGAGGAGAATGGACCCCTTTGGTGCTGTTGGCTGAGCAGTGTGGCTACACTTTGGACAGACGAGATTCAGAAATTGTTATCGCTGCTCCATTTGTGACATGTGACATCACAGTAAAGGTGAATTTCAGTAAAGACACCATTCATGAGACTGAAGAATTATATTTTCAGTACTGTGTGGTTTTGTTTTTTCCCCATTGCACATTTTATCTAATATCTGTATGAGTGGAAAAATGTGTTGATCAATACGACTCACTCAGCAATTACTTCACAGTGAGCGATATTGCCAAAAGTATGGGACTAGTGTGATGTGATATTTAAAAATCACGTATTATGACAAATTTATAGTCTTGATGGTCTGACCCAAGTACATCTGAGTGAATCAAAATAGAAAACATAAATACAACTATATCTAAAACTGCAGCAGATACCTTTTTATTGTTCATGGTTATTTTTTTTTAATACAGCCTCACACAGAAAGTGTCTGCTCTTTATTTCAGGATGGAAAATACACACTTTCTCTTCAAATAGGAGAGAAGACATTCACATTGGCCTGTCCTCTCTCTCTCCCTGAAGAACTCCCACTAACCCACCAGCCTCTGATTGACAGACCTCATCATCTAAGCAGTGGGCCAACAGAGCATATGCCACAATCCCTGGAGCCTTTTCCATGGGCTCCACCTTTCTACCTGGCCCCGCCTTACTACCCCCACCCTACATATCACCGCAAATATCCTAGTCCCGGTGGACACGATGCATATGACCTTCCTACTCCCTCATCTTCAACTCCTGACCCGACATTTGGCCCACAGCCTCTCCCTGTTGATCCCCAGCCAGACTATCAGGACTTCTACTCCCACCAGATTCCTCGAGTGGAGTCTTATAAACGTTTCACTGTCCACAGTTCGCTTTCATCTGCAGATGATATGGAGGATTCACGTCGGGTGTATCCAGGTCTGCAACAAAAGCAAGAAACTCCTGTCTTTGGTCTCTCTGAGAAGCACAGTCCTACACAGTCCTCAGATACAGGCTTTCCCATTCAATTTGAAGCACCTCCTCCCCAGCCCCCCAGTCATGCCTTCAATCAATATTATCACTACTACCATCATCCTAAAATCCCTCTGCCTGGCCCACCCCAAGACCCTGATCCAGGTCTTGAGGTTCCCTCTTTAACTAATCCTCATAATCCTGAATTTCCAGTGTTGCCCCGCAGCACCCAGCAGTCTAAGGCTATCAGCAGAGTTAACTCAGACTGGTTCCTTCCGTCTGTGCCTGAAGCTGCCTCTCGTCCTTACACCCTTGCAACAAATTCCCCTTCTACGGCTTATCCTCCACAGCCCTATCCATACCACTACTTTGATTACTTTCCACACATTGCTAGGGGAGAGGCCAAAAGATCGGCTCCTCTCAATCCCGATACAGCCGCAAAAGCAAATTTGTCTTATCAAAACGTAAAGTCAAGCCCCTTTGTTCAGCCACTTCCTCGCTCATCAGTGGTTCATGACAAATACAACTTAAATCCTTACATGGATCAGCCAAGGCAAGATAAAATGATAAACTTTAAAAGAAATGGACCAGAATCAATCAAACAGCCACTTTGGTCGGACGATGAAGCAGAGCTGGATTCCAAAATAAGACACTCTGCTGTCCAGCCTTACCCTCCTGAACAAGACGTTGTTGCAGTTCCTCCTTCTAGCACTTTCCCTACTCCATCACCCAACCATAATCCACCTCACCCCTACTTCTACTACCCTTATCACCACTATCAGATGGATTATGGACCTGAGAGTTTACTCAGTGCTGACAATCCTGTGCCTCCAACTTTATCCGAAGAAGCTTTAGACCCTCTGCTTCAGGCGTTCTCCTCCCCACCACAGCATCCGTTCTATTACGTACCTCAAACTCCACTTACAAAATCAATGTATGATGTTTCCCATGGCCCCCTACATCCTTACCACCACTATTACCACCTCTACTACCACCCTGACATGTCTGTAGACAACCAAAAAGTACACCCTGCTGGCAGTATGAACTCAAAATCAGAATCTCAGCTTCTCTCAGACTACAGCCAGATGGATCAGCTGGGTCATGCTGCTGAGGCAGGAAATCCCAGCATCCCACAGTCGAGTCCCTTTCATAGCCTCTATTCCCATTATATCACTCAGCAACAGCCATTTGATGCTTTTGGGCAGCCTGGTGGAGAAGAAGCAGAAGAGGGGCTGGATAATGAAATGAAAGGTAAATTATGACAGTGATGTTTTAGTTGCTTGTATAAGTGTCTTGTGTTTTCCAGATGTAGCTTTTAAAATTGGTGTCTACTTCAGATGACCACAAGGGGGCAGAACAATATTCTGTACTGACAGGCTTCTTCATTTTGTTTTTGTGAGCACTCACCAAACCATATCCAGAACAATGATATTAAAAGTCCTTGATAAAGATCTAGCATCTGGTTCTGGCTGTAACTAGACACCTGTATAGACTTTGTTCTGTCATCTTTCATGCTGATGACTAGACCCATTCAAGTGTAACTATCTCTCCTCTGTTTACTCTCTGTGTTCAGATCACATCAAGGCCAACCCGTACACTCCCTCTGCCTCACTCTGTGGCCTTGGCCTCATGTCAGATTTCGACTGCAGCTGTCCTTCAGGCTGCTGTTTGTACCATGTGAAAGGTGAGTCTTTTCAAATGCAGATCTTGCTAACACATGTCTGATTTAAAATGAATTGACAGTGGGGAAAACCCCCCCCAAAAAAAGGATGATTGATGTATGGGCTGAAAGGCCAGAAGCCAATGCCCAAGCCACAGAATTGAATACATTTTAATAGTTTGTGATCATTGCTTACAGTTAAATATTAAGGCTGACTTGAAAGTGTTTTCTTTACTCTGTCAGACTGTACAATGGGACAGCATTTAATCTTTGCGATGCCTGACTGTGTGGTGGAGCCCACAGTGGCCCCCCCAGCTCATCCCTCTGAGGTCAATAATGCGTCCTGCACACTGCAGAGGCTGACCTCTGACCCCAACATCTACACTGTCCCCCTAGATGGCTGTGGAGTAAACAAACATGTAAGGCACCCTGGTACTGTATGTACACCACGTAATGTAGCGCTCCAAAACAAAGCAAGCCACTGCAATGGTGCTTTATGAAAAGTTATTCAAATTTAATGTGGCTGTATAGAGTGATGCTTGGACTGCCCTCACTTCTAGTTAACTGGAGGGGCATGCATCAGGTTGTTTTGTGAAATGAACCTTTTTTCCAATATCATTACCTTGTTAGGCGTTTGGTCAGACAGTGGTTCATCTGTTGGAAGTCCATGGTATCTATTCTCTTCAAGACCACAGTTCTGTGTATGAGAACTCTCCTGTCAGGTATGGCACTACTGTTTAAAGAGAACTTTATTTCAAATGGAGCATTTTTTCCACCATATATTTGTGGGGCATGCTTTGTTAATTGTTTTTTTTTTTTTTTTCCTGCTATGAATTGTTTGTTTTAACTTATTTTCCTTTTTGCATATGGCATGACCTTTTTAAAAAAAAAAAAAAGTTTACAATAATGTGGAGACCAACACAGGCAAGAGTGTATAACTGAGAAAATGGTTTTAAAGTTTTAGTTTTTTTGTTAACTTAAATTGTTTGCAGAGTATTGGAAATGTGACAATTGTTTTTAAGGAAATTATTTATCTTCAAACCTTCACGACCTTTGACCCTTTTTTGCAATTGCTGACCCTTTTTTAGTTACATTTTTATTTCCAAAATTACAATTCTAGTGCAAAATGATGACCTTTCAAAGCATGTGCTGGCTGAGCTGAAGTGTTATTATATTGGTAGGTGTCCCATCAACAGCTGATAGGAGCATTGTAATTACTACCTTGCTCAGAACACACTATAATCAATTGCTCAGCCAAGGGCTTCTTCAGAGCATTTACAGTCTGCTGCAGTCAGTAAAATGCTCTCTGAATGTTGGCTTTCTTGCCTGTTCATTTTTGATATTACAGGAATTTTCCAAGCTTTTCAAATGGCATATTGTGAGAGTTAATGCTCTGGCCTTTATTCCATCATATGCTTATTTTACCTTCGATACAGCTCTGACCTAAAGTGATAAATTGCTATTAAAGTGTAACTGTACTGTAGGTCACCGCTACTCTTATAGTCGTATGTTACAGTATTGAGAGATCCAGGTTATTATCCCAAAATAACATCTTCAAAATCTCTGTATAAACTAGCTCAATAAATTTGCAATTGGATCTTTATTAGGAAGGATTTCCTGATGACTGTGCAGCGATTTGGAAACCCCTTCTCACCCTCATTCGAAGCGCTGATCACAGATTCTCAAAATAAATGAGAAACGCATGGCTATATGTCATAAAATTGTCTAAGATGCTCAGCTTGGATTGGCAATTTGACACACTGCATCCACTGTTAGATTTGTTTCCTTGGCCCCATCTTGTGTACGTGAGCTGCCTGTGTTGATCCATAGGTTGATGGTTGAATGTAGTTCGTCACCGGGGTCTCCAGGTGAAGTTAGACTCCATGTGATGGATCAACCTCCTCCACCTCCCGTTCAGGCTACACCAGCCATGGTCACTGTACAACTGAGAATTGCCACAGGTGAATAGCTTGTCTGTATTCTCTAAAGTGGTTGTTGCTGCTGCTGGTCCTAGTGTGCCCACATGCACAATAGCATCCCCAACAGAACCTAAATTAGTGTCATTGCTAACACCTGTGTTCACCCTACTATTTAATGTCAAAATGGCTGCCATTAAAAAGGTTTGTTCTTTACCTCCTAGATGAGTCATTCACCAGCTTCCACCCTGAGGCTCACCTACCTCTCAGCCACATACAAGGCAGTCCAGTTTATGTGGAGGTTTCCCTACTGGACCCCCCAGAGCCCAGCCTGGTGCTGCTGGTTCACTCCTGCCTGGCTTACACTCAAACTCCATATACCAGCTGGATGCTGGTTTATGATGGGTATGTAGAGATAAAGGAAATAAAGGTTTTATCGCGAGTTTTGAGTGATTGTATTGTGATCAGTCTTGGCAGCTTCAGTCGTCAGCGTTAAACCTAGGACAGTGACTAAGCAGGATGATTATTTGACTACAGCTTGCTTACGTCAAAGACCAGTGTGTTTCTTGTCTCTGTTTGTTAAAGGTTACTGGGTGCTGATTCCGGCTGAATGTTTTTATAGGTGCAAAGCTCTGCATGGTGTTTTTTGTTTTTTGATATTTTTTATTGTTTCATTTGTAACCGTCCTTTCGTCACTGTATGTTGTTCAGCTGTCCCAGCAAGGGGGACGCACAACCACTTTCTTCCCCACGCTCTCTCCATATCCGGAGGATCATGATTTCTACCTTCCTGTCTCTGCACGTAGAAAGTCCCTCTTACCCGGCTAAAGGAGCCTACTCTCACCTGGAGGACCCAGAGGTATATCCTACTTAACATTCTCATTCAAGTAAACTTCTATTTTGCCCTTTTGAAGTGGCATTTATAATGTTTCTTTCAGGTTCAGGCTGTCTTAGAGGTCTAAAGTAGTGTAGGTTTACAGTAATTCAGTAGTTAAACCACTAGTTCATTGTTTTTTTTTCTCCCTCAGATCTTCTTCATGTGCTTGACAGAGGTGTGTTCTGCTGCAGATGGTGACTGCACTGTAGGCTGCATCAGCAGTAAGTTAAATTACAAAGGAGAAACTGAGGAGTCGTCCAGTAGTTTATCAGGAGGCTTCTTATATATTCATTATAATGTGAACACTTGTGGGTTCTAGACTAAACAGGAAAACGATTGTCCCTATACATAATGACAACCAACAATTAATCTGCGATTATACACTAATGCTGCACTAAAGGATTCCTTTTTAAATACATTGTTGCTATATAATATTCCTTCCCATTACCCAGTTACGTCATTATATTTCACTTTGCATAATTCTTTACAAACAACATGGCCTGCTAAAAGCCAGTGACGCAATATACCTTTAAACTGAACAGAATTAAGGCTATGGGAAAATCAAATGAAACATGTTTGTATGAGTAAAAATGTCTCATCAGCTTTGCCCCCTCCCCCATCACTTCATTAACTTCTTTTTCCCTCATAGGTCCCAACAGTGACATGTGAGCAATGAATTAAAGACACACATCTGCACTCTATGTTTGTTTTGTGGAAATAACCAGGACACAAGTCTTTGTGAAAAAGAGGGAAATGTCCTCTGTTAATATTTATTTATTTTTTAAAATGGTAAGCAATATAGTGCAACATAATAGTACAACTATATAGTGCAATGAAATAGTACTACAGAGAATTCAAGCAATTCTAGGCATTCAGCTGTTTTCTTTTCAAACAAGACACTTGTACTTTTATTTGGTCACAGAAGCTTTTGGCTGGAACAGGAACATTAGGGACTGAAAAGGTTTAACTATTGAGTCCATTAATGGCAAAGTGTTTCCCTCAGGTTCAAACCAGTGTTTACAGGAAAGCTCTAAAGCAACAACACTTGAAATGTTTATACAATCAGTTTAATAAAACCTGATGGCTGAGTAAAGCATGCAGAATATTTCTGTACCACTTAAGAAGATGCATGAATAGAAAGAAATGAACTGTAGTTTTTATCTAAGTATAGTAAAGGAATGATAGCCATTGTTAAATTCTATAGTACAGAAATGAATTGGTAACAAGAACGTGAAGCTAGTTAGTCATCACCCTGACACATTTATTGGCTGGTGTGGTGATGCAGATTACGACTCAGGGCAACACCTTTTTGAAAACGTGTCACCTGCTGTCATTTGACCTAAGAGCTTATGTAATAGTTTAAATGTATTTGAAAGAAAATGATCCCTTTTTAGCATGTATACATAAATCATCAGTGGCTCAGTGAGTGTTTAACTCTAAGCAAACAGACAAACGCACATAACTCAGTGTGTTAAAGAGCTGCTGTCATTGTACAACATAACTACTCAAATGTGCACCACACACGGGAGTTTTAAAACAAGTCTCCACAGATTACGTATTGTATGCCCACAATGCCCAGCCTGTCAGGCTAAGAAGCACGTGCTGTCTAACTATGACAGTTTCGGCTACGATGAAAAATAGCCAATTATAAGCAACGTCCGTTTCACTAGGAGTACTGTACGATAATATCGATGGCTGTAAACAGCTCTTAACAGTCGTATTTGTTTCTTGGGTCAAATTATTAGCACAATGTAATGTTTTAGGGTATAAAAAAATTTGAACACTAGTAGTGATCGGTCGTCCACGTAAACCTGTATTTGCTGATTCAGCCTGAATTCCAGCGATGGTCTTCATTCATGAGGTTATGGGTTGGAAACGGATAGCTCTTCTTAGTATACAGTCGAATAGTATGCAGTGATCGCCTGTTGGCTTTTCTTGAGCTCTTTCAGGAGGACACAGGAGCAGACCATGGCAATAATCTGTCGTGCACACACAGAAGGTGGAGGGGGGAGTAAAAAAGCAGGGATGGGACAAAGAGCTGTGCGGTGAACAGCCTGCTTACTCCTCCTTATCACCCCCAGGATTAAACCAGCCACAGAATGAATTAGTGTGAGAGAGAAAGAGGTTGCACATACAAGCTCCTGCTACCAAGAAGCCTGTGAGATTAAAGGCAAAATGTTGACACTAAAGCAGCTTCCTGTTGGTGAAGTTGAGAGGAATTTATTTTTTAATTTAACTGAACATAGGGGTTTTAATCTCTATCTGTATGTATTTCTGATCTCTGTAACCTGCGCATCACTCCTCCACCCAGGGACTAGTACTGTGCCATACATCACCCCTTCCAAATAAACACTAAATAAATGACACAATTGCTGAAAATGTGTGCAAAATGATTAGCTTAATAAGATGCCATTGCAGAGAAAAGCTGAACATGTTCAGCAGTGAAGAGACTGGAGCGAGAGAGACAGAGTGAAACGGTGCGAGTGCACTAAGCTATGGGGATGTTAGCCATAGTGAGAGGGGTGAAGACGACTGGGTCATTGTCAGGGTTGGGGTAGGAGGTGGAGACAAATTGGGATGTTTGAGGCTGAGTCAGGATGAGGTACTGAGGAGATGAGGCAGACTGACGCATCTTTTTACTGAGGGTTGTGCTGCAAATCAGAGCTATGATCTTTGGGAACCAATGATTGGAAGAATGGAAATGAAGGAAAAAAATTTTAAAGCAGGGGGAGGGGGAATGATTAAGAGAGACAGAGGGGTGCACACTCATTAGAACACGGTCAGTAACTTTTTGATCAAGAACACAAGCTTGTCTATAGGCGAACAACAGAATGAAGATTTTTTTCCCCCCACAAAGATCTCCGTATCCCTTACTACTTTTGAGGCAGCCCTGTTCCCACATCAGTCTGTACTCTCAGTACTGTGTTTTGACAGTTACTGTCTATCAGTCATTTCACAGCTGTATTTGCTTTCATTTTTCATGTGGTTCTGTTCAATTATGCACAGTTTGCCACTTTAATTGCACAGAATTAGCGGCGTCTCTTTCAGCCTTCCCGCTGGCTCGCTATCTAAATTTGAACGATAACCCATATTTAACGCTAGCTAAAAACAAATATCTGTATCAGTTATATTGTGTACGATTGCCAGCACGTTGTACAGATTGTTTGCACCTATCCAGAATCCTCACAAAATGCAACCAGACAACCTCCAGATGTGGTCAGGCAGATCGGATGCTGACACATTCACTGTTATAACATGCAGTGTTAGTCTTGTTAATGATCACATTTAGAATCAGTCTTTGTATTGTTTTTAAATCCTTTTCTGTACAATTCTGTAATATTCAAAACATTAATAAATTACTTGATGTGGTTTAATAATGAGCTATTGGTTTAAAGTGTTAGAATGTAGAGTGATATTATCTCCTACAGATGTTTGAGTGAGCAAATGCACACATTTGATTCTCAATACAAACTGGCAAGAAGAACATGCAATTATTTTTAAAAACAAAACTTACTTAATTTTTGTTCGTTTAATTATCTTGTAACATCTTTTTTCAGTCACCAGCCTATTTCACCTTGAACTAACTGCAAACTTTCATTTCGATATACAATCCTGTGTTGTATAATGGTAAATAAATGTCCTTGATTTACTGCGTTTAACTGTAGAAAAGTGCAGTGTGCAATATATTTACTTACCAGAAGAGCTCCAATTCCAAGAAAGACGCCCATCACTAGTTGTGCTTTTCTGTCAAAGACGTCTACGATGAGCCCAGGACAGTTCTGTTGGAATGCCAAGACAGGATACACTGTTAACACCCTCTACACTGTAGCTAACTCACATACTACAGCAGTTCAATTTCCAGTGCTAGAAACAAGAAAAGGGGTTGATTTAGTCACCCAACATTGTACTACTATTTTAAGTGAACACCAATAGTAACTTAAAGATGACCTCAAACAAACCATTCAATACTTAAAACAAATAGCAGATTCATTAGAACAGCTTAGTTTCTTTGCACCCCACTTACAGACATGGAGAAACGTTCAAAGAACCCATCTGGTGCGGGACAGGTGTGTTGAGTCAGCTCTATCAAGGGGATTCCTGTCACTCCACAGCAGTGAAGCTACAAGGGATTGGAGATGAAGATCAGTCAAAGCAGACTCCAAATTAAATGAATGAGCACCAACACCTTATATTTGACATATCATATTATATTAATATATGGAGCCCGAAAGTGTTAAAACATTTTAAAAACTCAACTCATTATGAAATGTTATTTCATCATTCTTATTTTAGTAGTATTTTAAATTTCACATTTCATAACCTTTTTGTAAAAAAAACCCCAAACTATTTCCAAATGTTTTCATACTTTTCCTAATGACACATTTTATATTATAATGTCAACTTTAAGGACAGTGGTGTCGTCACCAGTCACATGACCCCGCCTTTTAAGTTAGCATGCTCAACAACTAGAGTTAGCCAGTTAGCACCTGTTAACTAGAGCAACAACCCTGACTCAACTATCTATGTGCAGCTGTAAATAAACACAGACACAAAAACTAGCATGTCATTTTTCTGTTCTTAACTTAACAAGACCTAGCTGGCCAACTAGCTACGCAGGGTTGTGAGCTTGGGTTATTACTCTGAATCAAAGCCAAGACATAGTTTATATAGACTACAGACGCAACCACGTTCATGATGGCGTCAGTTCACTGTGAGCTGCAGTGACTCAAAGCAAGGAACCAGACTGTGGCTGGAAAAGTGTTTGATCAGTGCAGTTGCCTGCCTGCCACAGAGAATGACAGAGCTCCTCAGTGAAGCACAAGCCTGTGTTTCTCTTAAAGTTTAATTGCAATTGCAATTCATCAAAAAGACGCAGTTCAATGCAACTTCAATGCCGTCTTTGTGTCACTACATCATGATGACAAAAACTGGTTAGCCATTGATTTAGTGGTGGATTTTAAATATTTGAAATGTAGCACTGAAGTGTTTTTCAATCAAGCGCTTGTCAGGGTGAACTTGGCTGAACAATATTTCAAAGCGCATACATAATTCAAGAAAGGTTTGGTAACCACGGCTCTAGCTAACAGGAGCAGCTAACTGGCAGCAGTTGCTGTATGTGATTTGCTGTAAGGTCACTGCCAATGCTGACAATGATGAAAAGTGAAATTAATAGTGTAATGAAGTGTCACTGGGAAAAACACCTTTTTAAAAGTGCATTTTAAGGGCACTACATTCAGTGATTCTAAAAAAGGAATGATGAAATAACAGTTGTAATTGTATTTATTTTTACAAATTGCTGGTTCACTTATGTATTTTACACAATATTTTTAAGATGTAAAAGCATTAAGTAAAAGGAAATAGTTTGTGCTTACTGTCTTGTGGATGAATGTGAGAGTTACACCAATGACTGGGTCTGCATTACTCAAATACAGAGTGTACATGCTAGTGTAGAACTCCACAAGCTTCAGCCCAACCTTAATGTCAAATATTAAAACAAAACATTGTGGTCATCAATATAGGCTATTTACTGAAATTATTTTTTTATTTTTTTATCCCCCCCCTCCCCCCTTTTCCATTTCCCTCTCACCCAAGTCCTGTTGGAATAAGCAAGAATTCCAACAGCAATTTCAGCTCCAGCCATAATGGACACAATGATGGAGAACTGAAAGGAGAAAAAGAAATGAATGAACCCAATCAGAACACGTAAATCAAACTGACAAACATATGTAAACAAGTAAACTACCATTGTCTCCCACTACTATGCATGTGCATCAAAGACAAGGATATGCAGGTCTGCTTGTTGTTTTCACCAGTAGGAAAAGCGCTTACCGTCGAACTTAATAGGAATATAAAATGATACACTTCATAAAACATGCAAGGACAAGTCAGTAATATGGGTCACAATAACAGTTAAGCCTGTTTTCTTTGTTGCCTTGAGCTGGAAACCGGCTAAATATTCCCAATACAAACAACACGCTGCGGTTACATTTCTGTGCTGCAAATCATAGTTAGTCACAGCCTGTTTCTTTCTACAGCACACAAGCCTTCTCAGACTTCCACCATTGTGCTATGTAACAGTTAAGGAATGTCTCTGAACTTTCCCAAAGGGACACTGGGACGAGACTATGAGATAAGACTGGAAAACACCACAGACCAGGAAAAAGAATGAAAGAAGTAGTTCTGGAAATCAGATCAGAACCATGTTTGATTTTGCAACACATTTAACCCCACTGTGGGGTAGTAGGGGATGGAAGTGACAATAAAAGAAAAGACTTTCAGAAAAATAAAAAGCAGGGCAGATTTGAATGGAATAGTGGGTATTGATAATTGCATTTTCTTTTCTTTAATATTGTCAAGAAAGGGAGTCAATACTTTATAAACAGGATTTGTGAAGCCCCGCAGCAAATATTTAATTTCCTCTAGCTTAAGAAAGTATAGTATGCCTCTTATCCAGAGGGTTAAGCCGTGCATATTTCCATTTAAATACAATTAGGTGTGTGGCATGTAAAGTAGCACAGGCCATACAGTCAGCTTCAGTGTTAGATAGTAGGTAAGGGTCTGGAGGGGCACCGAAGACGGCTATGAACGGGCATGAGCCAATTGTTTTCTTCAGGCATTCTGAGATTGTTTTAAAGATGAGAGACCAAACTTCTTGAAGCTTAGCACAGGGCCAGAACATGTGGGCTATTAACATTCCTCCCTCGCATCTTCTAGTTTATCACTTGTATGCTGCAGGAGTTTCTCAACATGAAACTGACATGTTTCCTCCCTGTTGTGAAATATTTCTATGCTCAGTATACGTGGAAAATATATGTGTGAAATGTTAAATGCTAATAGGACAATGCTGAATGGAATCAATAAAAAAGTTAATTTTAAAGAGAAAAAAAAAGAAACTGACATGTTTCGATATTTTGTGGTTAAAATTCTGGAGAAAATGTGTCTGCAGGGTTCAGAAAAAAGAGTAATGATAGGCTTGTCTGTAAAAGAAAGCAGTTAGTCTGCATGTTGATCATTTGAAACCGACCCATACAACTTTATGTAAGGTTGTTAACTCAATCAACTTGTGTCCATCTAAATCTGGGATCTCAAACTCAAACTTGAGGCCAGTGCTGGTATTGTGCAACGTTCGAAGGCTATAAGAAAGTGAACTCATATTTAACAGTAAGTTCTATACATTTTTATCTCATCATTTTATATCGCCTTTCACCAAAGATTCGGGACTTCAACATAATAATGTATATTATTGGATTGATGTTGCAGCTAGTAACGGTGGGGCTAATTTTCATTACTTTAAATTCTACTTAAGCAGTACTTCAGTAAATGTACTTAGTTACTTCCCACCACCAGGAGTAACCAGCACCTTTTAATCTCTCCTACATATGTTGACAGGTGTACCGATAAATATTTGACTGTCAAAGAGGTTAGTTTTTCATGTTACAGTATGTCTAGGAAATGCTATTACACAACATGAAAACACAATTGCCTGTGGCTCCACTTTACAAGGAAGTTAGTGTGAAAAAAATCTCACCACTTGCAGAGCACATTTTTTCTCACTGCAGGCACCGTAGTCTCCGAACGACACCATGATCAGCATCACTAGCCCGAGAACTATCAGCACCGTCACAGCTGGTGAAAAAGGAGGCAGAGACACAGGCCTGTGATTAAATATGGGATAAATGTATAATATAACCAATTTTTTGGAGAAATTATAAAAGTGTGTGTGTCAAATATGCGCTTACCGGCAACAAATGCACTGGAGTTGAGGGCTTCTACTTTGAAGATGCCTCTGGTGCCATCGCTAAACCGCAGCCAGAGTCCAAGACCCAGGAAGACAAACCCCAACACCTGCCAAAACACAAACGTCAAACAAAACCACAGTGTGCATGTGCAGCACACCGAAATTCAAAACAATGTTTCAGACGTAAAATGAAACCAGCGTGAGTCAGGGCGTCTCTGAGAGATGGCATGGCACCCTGCCACCCCATTTTGTAAAAGGTTGGACCTGACTCTGAACCAACGAGTAAACCGGACATTTGTCTATAAAATGTTTTAAAAGTTAGAAAAGTGTTTGCGAGCCGACACCGGAACTTAACTGAATTAAACAGTTTTAAACGTCCAGGATAGTGACAAATATATCCTGGGCTGTGCTGCAAGAGGCAGCTAGTAGCTTTGGTGATATTTCACAGTAGCACATTTTCTGTAAGAGATCTGTATGGTAGGATTGAAGTTTTGTCCAATTTTGTCGATACCATATTTTGTCCACACAGGCTTATTTATTTTAATTTTGTTGCTAATTTATAATGTGGCTGTATTTTTTAATGTGCATTGTTTTATTTTCTGTGTAGCTTACTTTTAAGGGACAGAATAAAATACATTTGTATGGTATATGTTGGGATTGGTAGATCTATTCATCTTTCCAATAAAATCTTAAACACAGGAATTCAAGAAACTGTAAGATACTGCAATTAAAGTATACATGGAAACGGTAAATTAATTCTATTCTGCAAACTGGCCTCGTGCCACTCCTGTATAAGTTAGTCAAAAAAGTCCACAGGTGTAAATGTGCAGCTTAACATTCTTGGTAACAAGGTTTCACATCACCAAATATTCAAACCTCGCGGTTGGGTCGGATGTGGTTTGAGCGATTTTCTAAGTAAGTCACCTGGCTTTTCAGTTCTTGCTTTTCATCCTCTTTTCCTCTTGCTATGTTTAATGTTATGCACCAAATACCAAGGCAAATACCTTGTGTGTGAATGCCAACTGTGGGACAGCTAGGTAAACACATAGAACTCCTCTGAAACAACAGTTCACAAGACAGCACATGGAAATAACAAGGCAGATTAAAACAGGGTGTGTATGGGTAAATGACATCTCTATTATGGATCTCTTTCATCTTGTTCTGTTTACACAGTCTATGTAAGGCATGAACCCTGCAGTTTTTGTGAACTCCAGGATGTGAATGCAACAAGTAACCCGATGTGGTATTCAGCAGAAACGAAACCTTCCCCACACATTGACGCACCTAACGGGACCCAACTGAACAATACTGTAACAGCTTTAAATCTGATTTACAAAAAAACTAAATACTATTTGTACATTCCTCATAAAAAAAACATAATATAGTTACACAGAAAAAATTCTTAATGTATTCTAATCTGACAGACTTACCGCGAAGATGAGGTTGAAAATGAAGAGGATGTATTTGCAGACGAGGCCACATCCGTCCAGTACCATGATGACCAGCGGTTTGTTTGACTCCGGCCACTTGTGAAGTCTGCAAGGTGTATAAAACAACTACCTCATCACTTGTGCAGGCCTGTTCAATGGCAGTACGTTAAATATACACTCACTATAACCTCTACTATATATGTACTATATCATGTTATATTTTACAATGCGTATATTGTAAATTGCGTATTAAGCATTTAATAACACGTTTAAACGCTTTAACAGCGCCGTTTCTTTTACAGACATCATGTATAGCAGTGAGAAAATGGCAGCCAGAACTAGACACGAAGTTAAACTGCAAATGAAATAAATACCTGTATTTGTTGAAGAAATGCAAGAACACCAACAAGCTAATGCAAATTGTCAGCCTTGTTGCGTTCCGTCTTAAACAACCCAATATGCGTCATGCCCCGCCCATTTGACCTCGTTCAGTCTTTTCATTGGCTGAGAGGCGTGACTGACAGGAGGTACCACGTATGAGCGGAGGAGCCAACGCGGTGGTCTTCTAACGACACCAAAGCGGAGGAAGTTGATCCTCCAAATATGGTTCGTGGGCTGGTTTGGTCTCGAGGGCGGGTGCACGAGAGCGTTTGAAGTAGGAATGAAACTTTAGGAAACGAAACCAGAACAGTTTTTAAAAAAGGCACACAATTAATAGTTTATTTACTGAAATTCACAACTTAAGGAACTAAACCTTTACATGGGCTTTACATGAATTCAAGTAAATAAACTATTAATTGCATGCCTCTTTTAAAAACTGGTCTGATACACGAGGAATTCATAGATAAATGAGTCAAGCCGTGTGACTCTATATCATTATTCTGCAGACTTGCTAGCTTAGAAACATAGATTTAAAAAAAAATACTGAACGGTTTGGATTCGTGTAATTGTGAAACTTAAAACCCAGCCGGGAGAGAAGAAAGGGAACAAAACACAGGAAACTGTCTATGACTTCACAACAGACTAACGCGCGCGCACAGGCACGCAGCACACACATACACACACACACACACACACACACACACACTTCATCAGGATGCACCGCTCCCACACAGTGAAGACGTCTGTGTAGTAAACACTAGATTGTATCTCAGGGTTTCAACTACCTTCATGCAATTTTTGTTGGTTCACCCTTTATCTTGTCAGCTGTTAAATGATAGTTTACACTCCTGTAATCTGATATAAATTGCACCACCTCTGCTTCTTCTTTTCTCTGTGTGAACCGCACACCGATAGAGAGATGTTTCTGCAGTGTAGATAATAATCAATAGACTAGTTACAGTGTGTACAAAAGTACATGGAAATGTAAGAGCACATATTCTTTTTTTTAATATGTATTTTGGGGCTTTTTATTGGCTTTAATCGATAGTGACAGCTGAAGAGTGACAGGAAGGGGGGGGGGTCAGGCTTGAGCCCATGGCTGCTGCAGTAAGGACTCAGCCTTGGTACATGGGGCACCAGGTCTAGCAGGGGAGCTATCCAAGCGCCTCTTTTTTATATTTCTAAGAAAAACAGACTCCTTTCACTCAGGTTCCTCTCTGCTGGGCCATCGACCGTCCGGGAAGCTCTTTGGTTCTGTTTACACGGGTGTTAACATGCATCTTGGGTGATCTAAGCACCAGTGGACAACTCTAAGTACGTGTGTGAATGCACCGAAGACGCACAGAGGACGCACTGAGATCCTAACATTCAGAGCACATTCGGAGGTGGTGTGTGCAGCATGTGACTACATTCTTTTAGTAGTGTGTATTCTGGGTCCTGGTCCACACTGAAGGACCACCTACTCAGCTGATGTCCTGTAAATACTTGCTGTCTGATTTGTATTTGGTTCCCTGTAAAGGAAACTACAGATTAGCAGCATATGTTTGTGAACACACCGCCTATTTAAAGGTCCAGTGTGTAACATTTAGGAGGATCTATTGGCCGAAATAGAATAGAATATTCATAGGTATGTTTTCATTAGTGTATAATGAGCTGTTTTTATCTATCTACCATGGAGTCTGCCATATTGAACTGCTATGTTTCTATAGTAGCCCAGAATGAACAAACCAAACACTGGCTGTAGGCAGGGCCTTTCAAGTTTCATGAGTTTTGTAGCCACTGTAGTTACTCCTACACACTTCACAGCCTGTTCCCCTCCTCAGGTTGTCAAATACAGACTGTGTTCATTTAGTTGCAATCCTTTAACTGATTTCACCACTGAACTAATAACCACAATATCCTCAGACTCCCTTAAAATATTACGCAATTTTGTGAGTTGCTGAGCAAGGAGAAACTTTCTAAACTTTGTGAAATGCAGTCTACGACTAATTCTTGATTATTTGGGCAAAATTTGGCAAAAGTTATACATTAAGTTTTTTCTTTGTGTAAAAAAAAAAACAATTTGTCCGTTTGTCCCAGCGTGTTGGCAGGGAGACCCAGCAGGAGAGACACTCCATGGTGGGAGCATGGCACACAGTTACTTTCTGTGGCATTAATGCCTTTCTGCCTCATGTGATGTGAATACATCAGATTTCCACACAGTTGGAGAAAGTAAAAGTGTCCTACTAATATAGTTGCCTGACAGCACAGGTAAAACATGCGACCCAGGTTTGTACAGGACTTCATGGTGGCACATCTTCTCTCTCTCCTGGCTGTCCCAGTCATTTGGATCTGGATCATCGTACCCATTTCAGATTTCAGGCTCTCCTCTTCCCTCCTCTCTCCCTACTTTGCATGTGTGCCGTGTGTTTGTCTGCCTCTACTTTAGCGCAAATGTTGTGCTTTTTCTTCTCTGTTTATGTGGCCTGTCCTCTTCCAGGTCTCCATAGTGGAGAGGTTGTGTGGCTCAGGTCCCACTTGGCAACACCTGAATTTGCTCAATGTCCTCCTGGATCCACATTCTTCACATATATTTTATAATCTTCATGTAACAGATTTTTTTTTTTTTTATCAAAATGTGTGTATAATTTGATTTTGGTGGTTTGTTCTGTACACTCGACAAGCGACAAATTGCGTGTCTGGCCATCCTGTTAAAGTAGTCCCTCCTCTGTGGCCACAGCTACAATAAATATCTAAGGGGACTACAAGGCTTATAGCAGGGGGGCAGCAAATTGTTAGAAATACTTTGTTAGTAATAACCCCTTGAGATGCACTTTCTTGTTTTCCGGCACTTACTGGCAGGTGGCAATGTTTTCATGCAAAGTGAAGTGAAACCTTTTGGTGGTATACTGCACTGTCAAAGGGGTTTTTGTGGAGTTATCCTTATGCAAATGAGGGTCTAAGGACAGAGGGTGTCGTATGCTGTACAGGTTTCCCCCTGGGGCAAATTGTAATCTGTGATTTTGTACTCCATAAATAGAAGATGACTTGACAGAAAACTCCTACACTTTAGCTATATATAAATATATGTATATATATTTTTTGTGTAAGTAATTAAAAACTGTAAGGTGAAATCTACGTTGTTGACACAAGGTCATGTTCACAAGTTTATTAATGTGGTGTTAATGTGTTTGGTGGTTCCCAGAAAACCAGTAAACAGGTTTGTTCATCCCCACAGTGAAGGTGCCAGCCATGATGAAACACCACGTGCCAGCTGTGGCGAACACTTATTAATTTAGCTTATAAAACAGGTTTGTACAAATCTACACAACCAATATGTGTGAGGTGACATGACTGAAAACAAGCAAAACTTTATTGTGAAGTGTTGCTTCTTCTAGCCAGGGGCACCAACAAGGGTCCTCAGTCACTGCTTCAAGCTTGCATGAGGAGCCTGCAATCATTAAATCAGTATATAGTGAAAATGCACAATGCAATGTCCCATAGCCCAAGGTTGACCAAATTCCTTGTTTCATCCACAAATAAAATCAAATTATAATACAGAAAACTACACGTTTGTTGTGGTGGTGGTGGTGTGCACAGACACACACTGACTGTGACAACTGACTCAACCACAGAAGTGTTAAAAGTTAAAAGTAAATGAAAATGAAAGTGTGCAATTTAAAGAATACGGGAACTGTACGCCACTAAAATACAGATCTTCCTACAAATACCATGGTGTATTTTTCACAGCCAATATCTTTTCATGACCCGTGAGGTCTGTGGCTGTATTAAGAGAGTAATGGCTTCTGCGGGCTCTCATCGCCTCCGTCAGTGAAACAGGCGGCTGTGTGGAGTGATGTGACCTCACTGCCGTCCATCATTGCAGGTTCAGTGGGTGGCAGAGCGACAGGTAACCGGAGAGAGACAGGGGTTGATAGAGTGAGTGACTCAGAGGGAGTGAAACAGCACATACACACACACACACACACACACACACACACACACACACACACACACACACACACACACACAATACACTGCATCCTCGGCTGCTCGTATGCACACATAAACACACAATCACACACATTTACACATTGACAGCAATCATCTGTTCTGAGGCGGGCAGGTGAAGTGAGGAATCAGTGCAGATTCTGTCACATAGATGTGTGTGTGTGTGTGTGTGTGTGTGTGTGTGTGTGTGTGTGTGTGTGTGTGTGTGTGTGTGGCAGCAAAGACAGTATTTCTCTTTTTGATGTATCCCCTTTCTCTCAGTTATTGCAGCTTTGCCACTATAAAGCTTTCTACACAACAGCAGCCAGATTTGATTAGTGTTGCTTTTGTATGAGTTATATGACAACAATTTCACAAGAGAGCTGTGATTAGTTTTTTCTTTCAAGATGGAATTGCGCTTCTCTTCAGACGCTCTGTCATTTAAGACCCACTAGGGGGCGCGAAAACATTAAAAAACATGCCTAGTGTAGCTCATTCCTTTAAAATAATCCAGCTCAGAGACTGCAAGTGTCTGCTTGCTGCTCATTTGATTGATTTGTATTTTATTTCTTTGAAACCTTTGGATATTAGAGGCTTTCATTTTAGTTTATTTGGCCATGCTCCAGGAAATACGCATAGAAACACACACATGCAAACTAGAAATATAAGCGATTTTATAAACTGTTTGGAGAAAATGTGACATTCTCTTACTCTCTCACTTATACATTATATCATTTACAAATGTGGGAATCCATTTGCTTTTTGTGAATGTGAAGACATATTGTGTAATGACACTGTGTTGCAGATCTTACACGTTAAAAAATACTAAACATTTATAACTGCTTATTTATGTAACATACATTAATATACCCCAATGAAAAAAAAGTATATATTTATTTAATATACATATATACTTACATTTTATATACTTTATTATATCATTTATATTTCTCCTTTGTCTGTGTTGGCTGTGGACATTTTCTTTAATGTTTCTTTATTCTTTCATTGTGTTAGATGTTACATTTAGTAGCGAATCTGTTGGCAGCGCTATGAGCAGCAAAATAACAGCATCTTCATTTTAATTCGTCTGAACAGTGAAATAAGTGAGGGTAAAGGAGGAGGGGGAGCTCCGTGGTGTTGGGGGAGGTGGGGGGGGAGGAGGAGGTGGTGGTGGTTAGGGAAAAGAAGGAGACAGAGGAAACGCAGACCTCAGACCAGCCCACCTCACCTCACCGTGCTCTCTCTCTCAGCCCGGTGCCCGTAGACAAATCTGACCGCGGATCAGCGCACTCGGGCTCCCTTCCACACTACGAGTTACACCAACTGGGACTCAGACCAGAGGAAATCGTGTTCGTCGGCAGCCAAGACACATCCACAGCAGACCACGGCGAGGGAGCGGACGGTGTGATAAGAAGGGACTGAAATCAAGGAGGAAGGCTGGTAGGAACAACAGAGGGGGGTTTGAGGCAAGAACACATTTAGCTGCGAGAGGAGAGAGGACTGGCTGGCCCCGCTATAAGGAGAAGTAATACGCGTTGCTAATTTCCAACATTTTCTATTATTGGCAGCGAGAGTGTGCTCCCCGAGCCACATTTATAAAGAGAGCTAGCGGAATGTAATGCTAGCAAGCTAGCTAATGTTAGCTAGCTAATTAGCTTGTCAGGCATCCAGGAGTCGGACGTGTGATCTTTATTAAACTAGGTCACTGTTTGGCGTCGTTTTACTTTTTTTTTTTATTTTTTTATTGGAAAACTGTACTTAATGTGCTTTGTCCAGAGTCCTGGCATGGTCATAATGTTCAGCCTCGAATAGCTAACGACAAGTTAGACAATAAACAGTGCTAGAAGCTGCCGATATTGATGAAAATCTGCTCTAAATTATCCGTCTGAGATTTTTGGGAAAAGCCTGATCCATTGTGAATACCGAGCTGTGGACGAACCAAACGGAGAAGGCAAAGGTAATAGAAAAACAGACTTTTGACTGGTGACTGTCTGCCGTCCAATGTTAATGTCGACCGACGTTGCATCTATAATGCTACCCGTTAGTCGGGGAATAATGGACCGGGAAAGAGACATTGATGCAGCAGCCGGACCCCTCGCAAACGCGGCCGGGGGTCCAGCAGCTGTCCGGGGGATGAAGCGAGGAGACCCGGAGCCCGACGCTCAGACAGCCGCTGCCCTGACTGACTTAGCCGGGGCGGAGTGCAAAAGACCAAGGATAGACGGGACCGGGAGTGTTGTTGGTGACATTGGACAGGTAGGAATGCAATGTTAACACACCCATACATACTATTAATGTCTCACATCTGTGTCGTTTTGTGTGTGCGAGCATTGTAACAAAGTATCCCCTGTCCTCCCCTTTCTTCTTCTTCTCCAGTATAAAGCTTTTGTTCCTAAGCATCAGCAGGGAGTGATGATACTGTTTTGATAGGCCCCTTTCTCTCATCAACAACATAACCATGCATCATTGCAGCAAACAGGGGGGAAAAAATCCTCTAATCATAACTAAATGTGAGGTTTCTGTATGACACAACAGTGTGACGATAGTAAAAAGAAAAAAAAACGTGGGTTTGCTGAAATACTGTAGCTGTGCTCCTGGAGCTGCTCAGTGAGAGAGCATGACCAAGCCAGACAAAGGTAATATGATACAGGCTCCATTGCTATGACAGACAGCAGCACAGCAAAGATCAGACCCATTCATCATGCCTGTCTCATGGAGAGTAAACCAGTGCTTTCTCACTCGTTGCCAGGCACACTGTATTCTGTTTATTTTTCTAAATTCACATGGATGAAATCAATCACCTGCGGTGGTAATTTGCCGTGAGTCATCACATGAAATCCTGATACACACCGCATGTGCAATTAATCGCTCTGTGCCCCCCCATTGTCGCTAGGTGTTAAAAGAGAGAGGCAGACAGGGATTGGGGGAGGGGTCACCACAGCGAAAGACAAAGAACAGAGCCTTTTGGTGTGTAGGCTGAAGGAGCAAGGGGGCTCAAGGGGGCCCTCCTTAACGCGGGTCTTCCCTGCTTTCATGACTCGACTGCTGAGGCAGCAAAGCATCAGCAACCATTCTTTCCTCTGAAGGACTAAACTGTGCATATTACAGTAAACCAGGGGACTGCCGAGGCACGGGGTGCACCTCTCTCGCTCGCTCTCCCTGGATCTGTTACTATTTAGTTTTCTCTCTCTCTCTCTCTCTCTCTCTCTCTCTCTTTCTCGCTCATGAACACATGCACTGCACGTCATTCTTACACCTACAGTACACGTATATGCTTTGAAGTGTCCATAATCCAGCAGCACAAGGGAGAATTTTAGCTGACGTCTGGTGTTTTAGTCCAGGGAAACAGCACTAACAGCAGTCGAAGGGCAGGCAGACGTGGTTTGAGGTCATCTGCAGGTAATTGAATCCTGGGGAACTGGTAAAATTCTTTAATTGGCTGTGCGGCCGACCTGCTGCAGTGACAAATGGGTCCCATGTAATGCTGTGATGCTCTGTGAGCTTCACAGAGGATGGATGCTGATGATGGGGAAAGGTTATAGCCCGCCGGCAAAGATGATGTGACAATGAGCGGCGTGGCATGGCGAGGATTCTCGCTGCCCATCAGTTGTATTGATCGCTGGGCACTGGGGGGTCAGGATGGAAACGGGAGGGAGTGAAACAGTGACGGGGAGGGAGGGGTGAGTTGGTGGATGGAGCGGTGGAAGGCGAGATAGAAAGTGATCAGCGGATGCACGTAGGAAGAGAGAGAGGGGTGGATGGAAGGAGGTGGAGGACAAAGAGAAATGAATGGAGACAATATTTGGGGGTACTAAAGAAGAGAAAGGAGGCTATTGCCTGGATGGATAGATATAGGGAGAAATAAAGGATGGAGGCAAGGTGACAGAAAGGAAATCAGAGCCATTAGTTTGCATCCATCAAGGATCAAGATAAAGGATGAGAGGAAAGTGATGGATGGGAGAGATGAGCAGGAGGATAGGCTCTGACTGAAGCGGAATGGTTGAATAACACTTTATGCAAGGGGTAAAGAAGACACTGAGGGCTAATACCGGCAAGTCAGCCATGGTGGTTGGATGGCAGTGGCTCACTGTAGCTGAGTGCGCGCTCCGGATGGGGAGGATGAGTTCAGTGGATGCTCCTCTAACTAAATGCACCCAACGATTACCATAGTATTCCCACTGAGTGCGAGAGCTAGTGGATTGCTGACCTTCCAGGCTGACTGTAAATCAGGACTGTAATAATAAATGAGAGTGCAGCCTCCTCTCCCTTTTGTTGTCTCCTCCCCCGCTCTGCCTCATACAAACTGCAGACCCATTCCAACCCCCCCCGTTTCCCCTTCTCCCCTCTAGCTGTCCTCTGATTTCTCCCCCTCCTGTCTCCCCCAAGCATATTTCCAGATTGCTAATTGACTCCTGGTTCACAGGCTTTTAGTGTGCCAGTGAGGAGAACCACCCCAACCCCTCCCCCTTCCCCCCTCTCTGCTGCTGTCCCATCTCCCCCGCCTCTGCCATCTTTGATTATCTCTCCCTTTCTGTCTTTCTATCTTCCCATCACTCAAATCTTTACAACATCCATCACTCTTTTTTTTCCCCCCTCCCAGCTCCACATCTGTCTCGTCCCTTATTTTCCTCTCTCTGTTTGTTTTTCTCCTCATCTCCCTAATGTATCGTCCCACTTCCATCTCTTTTTATTTGTCTCCCACTCTCTCTGGTGGTAGTATTGAAGCTTCCCCCTTGAGGCTGTGCTGTGGTCCACTCAGATGCAGTCGGGAGTACAGTTTCTAACTCTCTCTCGGTCTGTCTCCCTCTCTGTTTCAGAGAGCCGATTTGTCCTATCGTTGGCAGTAAAGAGGCTTTGTGTCGCGCTAACGAGATCAAAGCTCATTTAGGAGAGGGCATTAACCAGACTGATCGCTTTAACGGGCCAGGGCAAAGGGAGGGGGTCAGGCAAGGGGTGGCTTGATATGAATGGACAGATCACTGAGATAGCTTATTACCTTGTTCACTACAAGCAACGCATATGAAAATGAGTGTTGCTTGTTTCTGTAGAATAAGTGTAGTTTTGTTTACTTTTTTCCCAGGAGCTCAAAGAGAAATGCATATCTGGTTGCTAATGAGAACATATTGCTGCCAACAGTTAGCTTCCGACCACTTGCCTTAAAAACAGGCATTAAAGGATTATCTGGAGATCTGTTTGGATTTTCCCTTGTTGCTCAAAGTAAATTGCACCCAAGATTTAACATAGTTTTTACTGTATATCTCTTGAAATCTTGCTTTAATTTTAAAATCCTATAGATATAGATACAACTTTATAAATGAAAATGTGCTTTTATCAGTTTGATATACAAACTGCAATGGTTTGGCCTTATTGATGGGCATTTGTCATTATTTTTTAGATTTTATAGACGTAGACATTGATGATTAATAGGTTAATTTACAGTGAAAAAAATCATTGGTTGATGTCCCTAATTACTGATGAAGATAAAATGCTTTGCAGCCTTGGCTCTAAATTGCAGATATGCCCAGTGGTTGCATAGCTACTATAGTATCCTGCATGTACCCAGAGAGCTTTTGTGTAACTGTAGCTTAAAAGTCTAAGTGTCCTTCAGAAGTCAGCAGCCTGAATTATTCACAGTAAAGAAGAAATGCCCACAGAAGGGGAGCAGTATTGTAGATAGGTAGAAGGCGTGGGTCGGGTTGTGTGTTCAGCCTATGTGTGTTAATATTTGTTACAGAGGGTCGTACACAATCCAGTATGCTCTGCCCTGCTGTATAATGATTGCTGTTGAACTTTGAGCCACAGCACAGCGGCAGAGTCACCCTTGACTTTTGAACCGGCAACGATAAGCTAAAAATTCCCAAGACAAAGTTGCCCAACTCCTATTTTCTCTCCGTCTCTCTCTCTTTCTGTCTTTCTCTCTCTCTTTGTGTATGTGTGTGTGTTCAATTCAATTCATTTGGCACAAGTACAGCAGCCGTATTTGCCAAAGCACAAAGGAATAATCAGATTGACGAAGGAAGAGGAAAGGCACCATTCATAAAAAGCAGGAAATAGAATACATCTCTCTCTCTCTCTTTCTCCAGTTCTCGTTTACTCTTGTAAGACACACCGGTTTCAGCTCCTTAACATGACACTCGCATGTTAACTCTCCCCTTTATGGTCATCATGTCACCACTCCCCCACCCTACATGCCTCCTCCCCAAGGCTGCCCCCAAACTGTCATATGTGCTCCCGTCTCCTGCCACACGCAGAGTGAAATGTCAATTCAGTGTTTCCCTTACATGGGGTCATTTGTATTGCGCTGCTATAGCATTATCACAACGGCCACTGCGTCAATAATGAAAATTCAGTTGCGAAATATGGATCTTTTAAGTCATGTGCGATCCTTTGTCCCCCTTTAGGAATAGCCATCAGCCATGTCTAATGCTGAGTCCAAATCCGAGTATTTCATGAAGATCAGTTGATGCTGAGTTCTGATGTGACGTATTATCAAATAAGTGTACTGACGATCTGAAAACCTCACATAGACGTGCGTTCTAGTTTCATTTATTAGGCACTGTAACATAATGCACGCCTGTTGTGCACGACAGGCTTATTACAAACTGGAATAATTAGATGTGACAGAAAACAATGAAGCAGCCTGTGCAGCATATTGGTGCAAGTTGAACAAAAGAAGAGGACAGACATCTTCTCGCTTTTAAATAAAATAAAATGCTAATAATGCTAATGATAAAATCATTAAATTAATTAAATAAAACACTTTGCCAGAGTTGCTCTCAGTAAAATATGTTGATCTGTTGTGGTATCTGGAACAAGCAAATTAATTAGCCAGTGCTGGGTACAAGCACAAGGGAGCAGTGAACACTTATGTAGTTGTAATGTTTTTGTATTTCTAATACTTCATTTTTGCTCTAAACCGACCTTTACATGTCCTCATCCACATTGCATTTCTAAAAGTGTTTTCTGTAGGCAAGATTGGAATAAGAACATAAGGAAGGGGCCTTGCATATTATGGCAGCGCTGTGTATGAATTACATCTACCTCAAGAAATCATCTTCACATTCTTCACATTTGTAGCTATGTAGAGGGTCCCGCTCACAGGTTCACACATCAGCACCTGCATATTTCTGCACTCCCAGTCATCTGTTGTTGTTCGCAGGCCACACAGTCGGAGGAGAGGAGACAGCCATCAATAAATCCACCCAGCAAATGCCCTAGGGCCGCATGGTTTGTTACTGTCGGATCGGAAAATATAACTTGTACCCAGTTTGTGTTAAAGGCATCAAAGACTCCCACTCTTTTAAAAAAGAACATAAACTATAATTAAAAAAGAAACAAAATGGGTAGCTGTGCCTTCTGAGGGCACATTTTTGCTCGGAAAAAGGTGTTGTCATAAGAAACAAGCCTTCAGTCTTGGGGGAAACCCTGCAATTCATCTTGGCTTTCCACCCTTCCTGTTGGTTTTCTTGGTCTGCCTTTATGTCCCTGTATATCGTCTATCTCCATTGTCATTTTCAACCTCATCATTTGCCTTTGATATGCCTTTTGGAGCACATCACATTGACAAATCACATCCATCACTTTCTGTCCTTTGCCCTTCGGCCTGTTCTGTTGATTCCTTCTCCGCCAGTTTCTGTGTACTTTACGGCGGCTCTGCTGGAGAGCGTTCGCCCCCAGTTTCTCCCACTCCGTTATGATTTGTTGACTTCATTGAGTTTCGAGGTTGCTGATGATATCGGGCCAAAGATTGCCTACAATCTCCTGCACGCAACACTTGGTGGATGATTGGTTTTCCGTGTCTCAGATCTTGTGATGTTTGTGGGGCTGTTAAAAGTAATTTGGCTGTTGTTGATTTTGGCTCGTATGTCCCCATCACACCTTCTGTTTAGGTGAAAGGCAGGACTTTCTCACAGTGGTAGTCCTCTCCACTGAGTTGTGTCGTGTTGTTTCTTTTTGTCAAAAGGTTTCAGGAGTTTGGCCTTTTGGGTAATGATGTGCTGGTAGCAGGTGGGATTTTTCTTACATTTGGTGATATGATTGAGACCATAATAAAGCCAAACATCGGCACAGTCCACCCCCTCAGGCTGTTCTGTTAGGGATCGCTGGATGCTTGCAGCAGCCCCCTTAATTACCCCGCTCCCCTCCTTCCCCCCCTCACCATCTGTTGACCTCATGTCATTTTGCCTTCCTTCACCACTGCTGCTCCGTTTTCTTCCCCTGCTCCTACCCGCTTGCTCCAGCAACTCCCCAACTTCTTTCCTTCTCCTAAAATAGCAAGTCTTAGAGAGAGAAAATAAACAAGAGAGACGCCCTTTAGTTTTGCCCTCCGCGGAGTCGGAGAGGGGGACAGAGAGAGAGAGAGAGAGAGAGTGAGAGTCAGTGAGTGTTTATGTGTGTGTGACTGGTTTTCTGTGCTTTTGCTGATCCCTGCCAGTGCAGTCTGAAGCCCTCAACGTCAGCCAGCCGGCGCCTTCAAAGGCTCCTCCTCACTCACAAACTATATGGAATTAACTTAATGGAAACTTGCAAAAGTGCAGTTCGAAAAGCCCTCCTTTCAACCTGGCCAGGCTTAGTGCAGCATGTTGTGTTCACTTTTTATTTATTTATTTATTTAAATAAAGAGAAAGTATGGTAGGGCATTTTCGGGCATGTAATATACTTAAAAGCAATGCCATATGGCAAAGGGAGTGTGCGTGTACGTGTGGGTAAACACGAGTCTCTGAAAACTAGGTATCAAGTTCAGACCCCCAGTCCCTTCCCCCACCCCTTTGAAAAATATAAATCACATGGCATTCTTCACTTATGACTCATTGTCTCCATTTCGCGAATGTTTCACTGCTTTATATTTCTTTCCCCTTTCTTGGCTTTGGCCGTCTTATTCCCCACATTCCTCCTCCTCCTGTGTGCGTCTGTCTCTGCCTTATTTTCATCTCATTTTGTTCTTTCTTTTCTTCTTTCTTTCTCATCTGTCCTCCCCACCCCCAATCCATCCACCCTGCTCCCTCCCTCTTCTGTTGCAGACAGATTGATTCCAGATGTTGCTAAATTCTACCCTCTCTCCCTCCTCCCTGTTCTTCTACGTAAACTCCTCCTCCTTCTCCACTTCTTTCTTCTTTCCACTCTGTCCACCGTGGAACCAACAGTGACTCTATAATTTGCTGGTTGGGTATAATTTTGGTTTGGATTTCACTAGCATTCCAGTTGTTGTCCCACGTTTTGTAGCTAGTGCAGCGCCTTCACCCTTACTTGACTGCAAATGTGATAAAAACACTAATTCTCAACAGTTAATAACCTGTAATTGTATGTGTTTTGTAGTAATACGGCTAAATTATCACATTTCCTCGGCCGCTTCGGTGGCCCACCACCACTGAATGAAAATAGCAGGAACGCTGATCAAATACAATGTTAGGCTCCAGTTTTTGCTGCACTGAAACCAGAATGTCAGCTCAGCCCTATTTGAAATGCAGTGCAGTGTTGGTAACTCCCAACATGCATCTCTTTTTATTTAAAATAGCACGAGTTTTCTCATTCTCGTCGCCCAAGGCTTTGTAGACTTGAGATTCTGCTGTGAACAGTCCCCCTTATACTGCCTTTCTATATGTCCCATGGAGAGCACCCACAGTCTGTTACACAGTCAGTATGCTGCTGAATATAAGCCTGTCCATTCCCCACGTAAATGCGGCGCACCAAGGAGAGTGTTCCCCCTGGGGATGAGGCACGAGGGGGAAATTGGTTCCAGATGAAACAGGAAGTGGAGAGTGGAGACAAAGAAAGGGCTGTTTCAGACAGGGGAAAGGGAGGACGGGCCCCGAGTCTGAACACAAACGCACACACAGAGAGTCGGAGTTTACTGCCCTTGGCATCAAAAGAAAAATGTTTCTTTCTCATTCTTACCTATTCTTTTAATGTGGGCCATTCTTAAACCACATACTTTCATTCCCCCTTGGTTTTCCTCTATTCCACTCTGTCTAGACACTATTTTCCTTCTTCATTCACCCAAACAATCACCACCACATCTGTTTTTGGTCTTAGCCAACATATCTCCAAGTCCTAGTCTCTCTAAGAGCTATACTGCATAAACTAGATCTTTGGGTTCAGCGATGATAGTTGTTTGTCTGTACGTTTAGACAAACAGTGTGTCAATCTGCTGCTGTCATCGTGGCCCTCTGGCTCACACACTTGCCCTTGATTGGCTGGACGAACGCTATCAGGAAGTGATTCCTGCAGGAGGCAGCTCGGGGTCGGGGCCAGGGGGTTAAATCTCTGTTGACACTCTTCAGAAGCCAAATCTGCCCTTCTCATCGCTGTGGCATTGCACGGCCCACACTCAAGCTGCTTGCTGAATGGACGGGTGCATTCAGGCCAAGGGGCAGCACATGGATTTGAAACATTTTGTCTGCTCCTCTGTCCTGCAGATTAAATGGAATGAAAACATGTGAAGTTCAAAAGACTACCACCCCACCCCCAACACACACATATACGCACACACACATATTTCTTTCTTTTACCCCTCAGACCTTCTCCCGTCCTCTCCCTCTCTCCTCCTCCCCCCTTCCCTGCTCGCCTAGTGAGACTCATGCCTCGGCATGAGTCTCACTAGGCGGTCATGTTTTCTCTGCGAGGCGTGCCAGCAGGCTAGACTGTGCTGGTGTCATCTCTCTCACTGCTGTCAAAATATCATCGTTTGGTTAACTTTCCCCATTGTTCCAGTCCTCCTCCTGCCTCCCTCTCTTTGTCTTTCTCTCTTTTCCTTTGCTCCCTCCTCCTCCTCCTCCTCCTCCTCCTCTTCACCTAGCTCTGCAGCAAACAATGGCTGCTCTTGCTGGGGCAAAACGACACTGGAGGAGAAAATAATAGTCAGAAAGAAAAGAGAGGAAGAGAGACAGAAATAATCTAATTAAAAGTAATTACAGAGCAATTAACCACAACACTGGTTTCTGGGACAGGGTCTATGAGGGGTGGGGGGCTCACCCTCCACTAGTAGATTTTGATTGGTTTGTACGGCTGAATATGAAATCTCACTGCAGTGATGGTTGACCAGTCATGGCCTCCACATGGACAGTTAACTGTTAACTTAATTCACTGGTCAGTGTTTTCCCTTCAAGGAAGTGTCTGCTGTCCCTGTTTGAACTTTGTTCTCTTACTGAGCATCATTTTTGTTTTATATCATCGTGGGGGGCATTGAGAAGCAAAAGCACCACTATACTGTCTTATTTAAGGTTTTAAACATTGTTTGAATAGTATGAGTTATGCTTTAAGATTATATAAACAATGTGACAGTAATATAAAATATTGAAGAAATTACAGGTTTTCTAGTTAGTTGGGAAAACAAGCTAAGTGGCTTTTCACCTGAAATGTAAAAGTTTTGGACTGTCATGCTGCATCCACTCAATTTTTCAAAAGCCCATCCACTTACAACGCTCTCTTCCCTCCTGTTGTCTCTTGCAGAACAATGAGCCTTTAAACCCTGGTTTCCATGGATACCCAACTCACAGTCAGGTAAGAGATAAGTGACTGCTTGCAAACCTCTGGAACAATAAATTTAAAAAATAATGTAATGCAGAATCCATGACTGACTTGAGATATGCTAGTTTTCAGCCAACTAAAGTCCCCATTTGAACAACCATAAATCAAGTGGTGCTCATTCAGTTTCCTTCTCATGGGATATAAAAGAGGATATCCACTGTTTTGTAAGAACATTTTGGAAAGAATGAAACTGTATGGCACTTGGAAGATATTTTTGGGGCTTTTTGAGCCTTTATCTGATAGGACAAGTTAAGATAGACAGGAAAGGGGTACAGGTTGGAATCAAACTCAGGCCACTGTGCTAAGGACTCGGCCTACATGGGGCGCCTGCTCTACCAACTCTGTCCCACAGTAGGGAAGTTCCATTTTTTGCATACAGTATAATCTACATCATATTGGAAGCCAACTCTTCATGTCCTAGTGAACCTAGTGTGTCGTCCATCTCGCCCTATAGTGGGCTCTGTTGCGCTACGGCATCATTATCGACACAATGAAGTCCTGCAGGGACATTTTTCTTCTGCGACAGCCTATGGTAGCGTATAAATGATGGCTGTTAGAAGACTTGATGAAAGGGGAACTGGTAGTGATTCAGCTTCTCTTTCAAAAGCTTGACCCTCAGAAGCATAGAGAGAAATTATGCCATCGCCTTCTTTAAAGTGAGCTCTGCACAGTCTGCGTGCAGCACTGTTTCACAATACCGTTCCCATCCTCTTACACTTTCTCTGTTTTATGCCTCTCACTGTCTCTGTCTCTCTCTCTTTCTCATTCTAAGTGTCTCTCCATGCATATTGCTCTCAGTAATGAGTGCCTTATGTGTGCAGCGTAGCGGCAGGGTGGCTGACTATTTTCTTATCTACCTCCAAGCAGCAGAGCACATTGAGCGGCTCAAACCAGCTCAGTGCTAGTGTGTGTGTGTGTGTGTGTGTGTGTGTGTGTGTGTGTGTGTGTGTGTGTGTGCGTGCGCGTGCGTGTGCGTGTGTGCGTGTGCAAAACCCCATTTGAGAGAAAGGCAGCTGAGAAGCTTGCGTGTGTGCACCTTTGTCTCCGTGAGTGCGTGCGTCTCTAGCTTGTGTTTTGGGATGTGCAGCTCTCTGGCAGTGCCACAGGAGGGGAGTGTTGGTCTATGAGGCTCTTCGACCCCCCCCCCCCTCCCCTCCCCACATCAAAACATGGGAGATTCTCACAGGCCTCATCCCCTCTCATGTATTCTTTTTTTTCTCCTCTACCCTGCTTGACTCTCCAATCCTGCTCTACCCTTGGTATCTCCTTTCTTGGGAACACAGTTCTCTGAGTGTGTGAGTGAGATTTAAAGAAGCCGGCACTGTAAGAATTTGGCTTTCCGGTTTAAAGTAAATTTCATGTAGATTTCCCTTCCCTTTTGCAGTATTCAGTTATTTCGGCGTCGACCTGACAACATAAAATAACTCTTGTAAGTAAGATCACAGGCAAAAAGGAATGATAGGATGAGACGGAGAAGTGGAGCAGAGGTGAAACAGAAATGGAAGCAAGTTATTTAAGATGGCTTGCCTGCAGGGCACAAATCATACAATAGTCAGCTGCAGAGTCAGAGCAGACTTGTATTCCAGTCCTGGCCCTCGCCTGCCTGGGGTTCATCTGCTTGTAAGACAAACACCTGGGCAGAGAACGCTTGTGATCTGCGCAACATCTGAACTCCCCTCGTCATCTGTTAAATTCAGAGCCAACGCACAATGCTGCATTTGTTTTATAAATGATTTAAAACTCGTCCCTGCTAATGTATTCTGCCCTTGAGCACACTATATTAGGAGTCTCCAGCACACTAGCTGCTGGTTATCATGCAAATGGAGCTAGCCAAGCCTAGCTTAGCCATATTGGCTTGTTCATTGCTGCAGTACATTTGTCTTGGTAATGCTCCTGTCTGATGTTATGTATGCATGTTTGATCTGCCTGTAGGCCCGCTTGTGTCAATATGAGTGTGTTAAACGGTGACAGGCTTCTATGGGTCCCTGCTGCTGCACACTGTCAGTGCTAAATGTGTGTGTTTGTGTGTGTTTGTGTGTGTGAACCGTGGGGCTATACATGTCAGTCTCCTGCTGTTTAGGTCACAGTGATCATCAGGGTTAACAACACAAACATGCATACCATCCAAGTCATAGAGGCTGCACACCTAAGCATTTTTCCATGATTTGCAGTCATGTATAAAAACCTCATTGCAGGTCATAACCTTCCCATGGGTAATTCTACTAAAAATGTTCTGAATTATTCCTATAGAGAAGTTAAGCCTGAGCTATTGATTATCTGTAGATGCTGTTGTTTGAAGGAACTGGCCTTTGTTTGAGTTAGCTGATGAGTGTGGGATGGATATAGCTTTTTGTTTGAGTTTGTGTGTGTGTGTGTGTGTGCCTGTCAGCCAAGGTGTAGCCGCCTGAATATGATCACAGCACGTCTTTGTGTACATTATGTGTTTGTGTGTGACTGCGTGTGTGTGTGTGTGTGTTTATCACTGTGTTCAGTCTGTGTGCTTAATCCTCAGATCATCCCCCATTCATCCTCTCATCCTCTTCACTTACAGCCCTAATCCTGTCATCCCTAGCTTTTTTTTTTCACCCCGGCCCTTTATCCATTTATCTCTCAATCCCGTTATCTCTCACTGGCAACCACGGCCCCTCTGTCCCCGCTTCCCATTCCAGCCAAGCTCCCCTCTTTTGCCCCCTTTTCCCCCAACCACCTCCAATAACTTATCTTGCCCTCCCTCCATCCCTCCATCCCTCCGGACCCAGTTCTAGCCAGACTCAGCAGATGTCTGAAAGCTTGGCATCAGGGCTTTTTTTCCGCAGAGTTCAGTCCCTCCCATATGAAAATGCGTTGCAAGGAACTGCACTCTCATCTCTGCAAATTAAGCGCCTCCTAACAATACAGTGGTGGGAAGTGAGGGAACTGAGCCTGAGCCAGAAGAAAAAGGCGCAATGCAGCGTAATACAGATTCATGTTCAGGTTGAGGTTCTTATACTGGAATCGGGGCTGGCGTTCCCTCAGTTTTGTGAGGCTTCCATCTGTGTGATGAAGGCAGCTGCAGCAGAGAGATGGTGATCTAGGAGCCTACCCACGCAGCTAGCTACCTAGCTGTCTACCGACTGGCCTACCTACCGCTGCTTTTTGGAGCTGACAGGCTGCCACGCAATAAATAAATCATCAAAAAAAAGCTGCAATGCAGTGGGGGTCGCATTCTTGTTCTGTACTCTCAGGCAGCCAGTGCGTGGATAGAAGACAGCATCTTCTTCCTTCCTGTTCCTTTTCTCTCTCCAGGGGCTTTGAGGAGACAGCAACAACAGCTTTCTGACTCCATCTAGGCACAGGGTTAGATGGCTACATTGAAGGATGGATGCTTTGATGGATAGGAGGGACTGAGGCTTGAGAGGGAGGGAAAGTTTTAAAAGGGGGGCGGGAACAAGAGGAATCAGGGGGGAGCAGCAGGACGTGTACCGCGAGTGTGTGAATGACAGACGCGGAGCAAAGAGAAGAGAGAGAAAAGAGGCGAGAAGAGACTCAGACTGTCAGGAGGAGAGAGACAGAAAGGCCCGAGGGGGATCAGAGCACCGAGGCCGGGGAGACGAAGAAAAGAGAAGCAGAAGAGTGACAGGCAGACGAGGCTTGCGTGCTGGGGAAGTGGAAGAAGGGACACCAGCGAAGGGAAGGAGGAGGAAGAGGGAGTGAACGAGGGAGAATTTGAATGTGTGAGACAGACGTGGACTGAAGCCATCGTCGGCTCATGGTCTTAGAGCACAGGCACAGGAGAGGAGGAACAGGAGGGGAAATAGAGGCACAGAGGGAAGGGGAGAGGAGAAGGAACGGGAAAGTGGAGAGCTGGTCAGCAGCAGTAGTTCCTCTAGATCAGACAATGATGGGGCTGTACTACCCTGCAATGCTACCGGTAAGTTCACCGCTTAAGCAGAGCTTCTCTGTATAAGCAACTCTGTACCCATGTTGAGAACTGCAATATCAGAACTAGAAATTCAGGAGATATTATTAATGATTTCTTTCATTTGTTTAGTTTGGCTTAATGAAACCGTAATTGATGTTCTGTTAATGGCACAGCCTGTTTTGGTTTGCTGTGTCTTGGCCCAGGTGAGGCCTTTGTCAGATAGTTGGCAGGGCATCAAGCTAACAGCAGGGCTTGTCCCTGCAGCTCTGCTCCTTTCACTTTTTAACTCTTTGCGCTCAAGTGTCTTTAATTGTTTTGAAAGAAATCATGCTAATGCCTTATTACCACATGGTAGTTATGCATCATTTTGTCCTCATGTTACTGGAGTGGAGACAATATTCGGAGAGGCATCAAGTGAGTTGTAAGCTCGCAAAAGGATTGCTGAACACTTTGGTCACCGTAGAATATAATGTTTATTCAGTTGATGTGTGCTAGACTGCTCTTAGCATATGGTGGGCGTGTCTGTGCTACTTTAGCTGAGAGACAGCCCGAGGATGAGAGCTGTTCTCTGGCTCTGTTGTAGCATGTCCTGCTATCTGTTCTTGGGTTCCTTTGGGGGGGGGTTATGGGCTGGGGGGAGGTGGCAGGGAGGTGCAGACATGAGGTAGCAACCACTGCTTGGTTCCCTGTGTCGACATGCATATACATTGGGTATTGCATGCTCTTGCCATGCTGACTGCATGCAATGTCATGTTATTTTTTTATACAGAGTACAGTCTGTGTGTGTGTGTGTGTGTGTGTGTGTGTGTGTGTGTGTGTGTGTGTCATTTCATGTCCCGTCATGTGCACAGAGGGTGGAGGCTGAGATATTCTGTCAAGCGATTCAACATTGTCATCCAAGCTGTCCATGCAGTTTAAACTTCATCTGTCCCTAGATTGAGGGAGACAGGTGCCAAGGCACAGTTGTTTTTGTACACACACACACACACACACACACACACACACACACACACCAGTTGTTGCTAGAGTCCTTTATTGCCCCCCACCCACCCCTTATGGAACTCAGACACAT